TGGGAGAGGACACAGATGGGACAGATGACCCCAACTGACCCATGGGATATCCCAGACCATGTGGTGTCATGTCACCAATAAGAGCTTCAAGGAAAGAAGTAGGATAGGAAGGACATTCAGAGTGATGGCATTTGTCTTCCCAACAAACCCTGATTTCCTGGAGATGGCTTAACACCTGCCCACCCACGGGAAGTGAATGAATTTCTTGTTTTGCTTTGCTGGCATGTGGGACTTCTGCTTTACCTATTAAGCTGTTCTTATCTCAACCCATGGGTTTTCCCACTTTTACCCTTCCAATTCTCTTCCTCATCCCACTGAGGAGGGATAAAGCCAGTGGTTATGTGAGGCTGAAACGCCTACCAGGATTCAACCACAGCACACAGTTAAGGCCATTATTTTCTCCCTATTAGATGTGCTTAAGAACACCATGACATAACCAACTGAAAGTAGCCACAATTGCTTTATAATTCATTTTTCACTCATGACACTCTTCCTGCACAAAGCCTTACCGAATGGTGAGTTCCAGTATCTGTGCAAGTCTGTCATGAAGCAAGTTTGCCTAGGGAAGAAAAATTAAAATTGAATTATTAACTCCTATATATTGAACTGAGCTCCCAATCAATGTGCCAGGCCATAGTCAGTGAGTGTGTTCTGCATTGCCAGATGCAAATCTAGGCAGCAATTCCTGTCCCAATTTCTCACTGCTGAAAGGATTCTGAGCCTTTAGGATGCATTTGAGATTGAGTGAGCCTCTCCTGGAGTGCCAGGAATTATATAGGAAATTCTGCTGTTGCAGACAGGAGTTTAGCAAACCTGAAATACATTTAGTTGTTCAAAATATATAATGGGGTAAATACTGCTCCAGTTATCCCAGAATGAAATAGGAATGGACTATGAATGTGGATTTCAAAGATAGCAAGGAAAACATTAAGGTGAAGAGTATATGAGATATCTATTCCTTTCCAAATGGTCTAGGAACAACCAAAAGCACGCTCTAAATTAGTGGAATCTCCCAACACTGATAACAGTGGAGACAAAAAGAACTGAACTTCTTCAGAAGTAACAGCAGCAGTGACACAATATAAATCACCTACAGCCAGCCCATCCCCATTAATGCCTACATCAGTATCTTCAGTGCTGTATAACATTTTCCAGACACTCACTTTGGTTTCACACTGGGCTGCGATTTCTTCAAATGGCGCTTTTTGGAACTTTTCAATCACCAGACGCCGTTTTTCCTTTTCCTGTTCTTCGAGTCCATTGTTATCTTAAAAGAATAATAAAAAAATTGAGACAAATGCAATCTCTGCCTATCAAGTGTAAGTGATATAAACCTTCCTAAGTGCACTGCAGAAAAAGCACTGTGCTTGAAGGGATGAACCCATTCTCAGATGAGCTGTCCTCTGGCATTGCTTCTAAAGAGAAATGCAGATAAAATTTCAGGGAGCTGGTTTGAGGACCCAGTTTTGCCCCTTTCTTACTAAGTGCTTTAATTATGAGTACATCTAGACTCCCTTTTGCTTTATTGCCTGGAATCAAGACTGCTCTTGAGTGCACACAGGTTCAGACTCAAGAGAAAAGAAGGAAGTATCCTGCCCCCATTTCATGCTGACAGGCCAGAATTTTCTATTAGAAATTGAGAAAAGCCAGTTCAACCTCCATAGGCTGAGTGAACTTACAAGCAGCTGGAACTTTCTTTTAAAAAATCTGAGTGTTTTTGAAGTCCACAAAGTGTACCTTACAATCTGTTTTCTGAATGCACTGAAGACCTTAAAATCTTAATACATAAAAAATATTTTAGTTGCTTTATAAGTAATCACTCAGTACAACTTGCAAATCTCATATTATGTATGCCTTGGCCTGTAAGGCAAATTTAATAGATAAAAGGCTTTTCTAGATGTTTTTCATTCAGTTCCATTAACTTCAGAAAATGAATTCACTAACATTATCAAGGTATCATTTCAGAAATTCAGAAATAAATAACTGAAGTTTTAAATAAATTTACTAGCTGAAGAGAAACAAATGTAATATTTTCACTCTGTTACGCTGGCCACTCCTTTTTCTCTAGCAATTCCTTAGTAATTGAGAACTATTCTGCATAAGCTCAACTGTAATAAATCTTACCAATGGCTTTCTTCAAAGCTTCAAACGTAATTTCTTCAGTATTATCAATCTAAACACAAAGAAACAAACTCCTTAATCATCACATATAACGTAAGTTTCTAAAAAATAAGGAATGTGAAAAATACAGAAGGCCAAAATGGCCAGAGCTTTTCTGCCTTACAAGTCTCTAATAGTTTTATCTGGAGTTTCTGTGACAGACAACAGATCACTAATTCACATTTTTAAAGCCACTGCAAATACTGAGGAAATTTTTATCAATTAAGGTGAAGGAAAACTTTCCAAATTCTAGTCAAGATGCTCTATAGGAACTGTACTTTAGAAAAGGACTTGAATTTTGGCAGAACACTCCTTTGGGTCAGCAATAGGCTGTAGTGTTTCTATACTGTAAAGTCTAAGTACTGGGTTCTTAAACAACTGCTGTGAATAACAGCAATAACAGCAACTGCTTCCTGAGACTCGCTGAGTTACCAGCAATGGGATGCTAAAGTAAGAGATGGCAGTGGAGGGTAGAGTGGAAAATGGTTATTGCTTTAGTCTGACTTCGTACCATTATGGGTGCCAAATAATTTGGTGCTTATGTCATAAGCATGGGAGTTAAAGGGCTCTTCATAACAAGCTTTGTCTGATGCACTGAGAAAATCTGTTCATCTAGTGATATGAATATCCATTTGCTGGAGATTTACTTCATTAGGAACTGCTTTGGGCTGCAAAATTACCAAAGATGCACAAATATTTCTCTGAAGAGCTCCAGCTCATGGATCCTTGTGTTTCAATTCATTACAGACCTGGACTTTCTGTAGAGTTTCTATACCAGTAAATATATTTACAGTGAAACCACTGTGATGATATTAGGGGAGAATGCTTAGGTGGCAGAACAGTGTTCACCTGAATATAACATAGTTCCTTGGCTTGAACATTCACTTCAATCCTTCAAACATGTAAATAGGCAGCACTTTTATTTTATTTTTCCTTATAAACACTAACTGTTTAGAATGGTCTAATATGATTTAAGATAAGAGATCTGCAAGGTAGCAAAAAGTTACTTCATCCAATTCAGAAGACTCTGAATTCTTTCAGTTTTTTAATTGATTGGCTTGAGCAATCATAAAGGGAAAAGCCAGCAGAAGTAACTGTTTCCTTTTTATTTAAGTGTTATTTCAGGAGATGGAGCTGTAAATGATACTTTTCTATCATTTTACTACATGAGCACTTTATTCTCTATCTTTGAATATTTAAAAGATTTATTAATAAACAGTGAAACACCCTTTGTGTCAAATATTTGTGGCTATGGCTAGAGATCTAGAGTATTCAGGTTCTGAAGTAATCACCTTTTATGCAATTCACACTTGGTGAATTAATCATTAATTCAAAAATTTCCATTAATTAAGTATGTAATCCTCTCAATCATAAAGCTTTATGCTCCTTTTTTTTGCAGTTTAGTTCTGCTGATAATTATGGATTGTTATATTTACTAATCTAGAAAGCAAGACAACTAGATTTCATATATAGCTATGGCAGTGCAGTTAGCAAATTGGAAAATACTGGTTTTTCCTTTGCCTTGTAAACAAACATGACAAAGCAATACGGGAGGAATACTTTACTTTCTGTGGTTTTGATTAATAAAATTCTTCTTTTTAAGAGGTAAGAAAGTAATTAATTATCCAAAACACTGGACCACATTAAGCCCACATTAAATTGAGAACCTGTAAAAAGATTTTGATTTATCTACAATCACTTCAAAAAACTCTATATATCAATGCTTGATATGATATCAGCATAATAATTTGAAATCTGAAATGGAAGCTTCATTCATTTAATTCTAGTTTCAAGAGAGTTGTTCAATCATATAAAACTACATATAATACACAATTGTAAAATGAATACTAATGTCAAACACCCCCAATCCTGCAAGGAGCATTTACTTTTTTCAGAAGGCTAGAGATCTGATTGTCTCCCTTATTTTTCAAACACTTTTTTCTTCTTTCTCATGAACTTTCATCGTCATTCTTTCTAAAGCACAAAAGTGAACACAAAATATCATCTGAGGTACCCTCAGCACAAAGCAGAAATTAATAATGATAATAATAATGCAAAACATGGATCACTTCTGTCTAAAATGAAGCTTGCTCCTTTGCAATAGCTTAATATTGCATTTTAAACTAGCAGCACTCAGCTTGGCTTAGTCCACATATTCTGCCTCATGCCTTTAGACAGTTTGTGCTTGAAGGTGCCAAAGGTAAGAATCATCTGTACTTCATCTGAGGTACAAACACCTCAATTTCAACAGCTAATCTCCACTGCAGCCAGCAGAAATCTGGTTAATAAAAATCAGCAGAACCTTGAAAAAGATTCAGCAGAAGTAGAAATTTATTTTAAGAAGTATTCCAAATGAAGTGTCAAAAGATGTGGGCTAATTTTAATTATAAGGCAGTCTTCCTAGGGGATAATTAGCCTTTGCTCCTGTCCCTCTCAGCGACCCCAGGTCAACCACTAGTCTTACATCTCTGGTCTTACATCTCTCAAGTTTCTCAAACACTTTAATGATGCAGGAATACAGATTCAGGAATTTATTGGATGCCTCAAAATGCAGACAGAATATTTGGTCATAAAATATCAGTTGTTCAGTGTGTAAATGGATTGCTATCCCATATTCTGCAGCACTATCCATAAAAAACTACAATGATAAAATACTTGACATTTTCATACAGCAAGACCAGCACCAGTGTCTTTGACAACACATTTCTGCAAACACAACTTACAAAATCAACGCCTTGAAGTATTTACATAGGTAAAATAATCAGATATTAAGACTTTCTGGGAAAACTTCACTTGCATTCCCCCTCTCCCTCCAAGAAGCTGCTTTAAAATATTCTGGGATTTTCATACCTTGTCCTCTGTGTTGTTGCCAGGCAGAATATCCACCTGAAGAGACACTGTGTCCACAATGCTTTTCCTCCTGGAGAGTCTGTCCTCATCTGGCAGAAAAAAAAACTTCTCTCACTTTTCGTGTAACACTTGAAACATGATCAATCAAAATTCTACCCATGAGATGCAAACTTGCTTCCATATGCCTATTTAACCCACAATCATCTATTTTATCATTTGAATTGCTGTAAAATGATCAGTTACAGTTCTAAATTACTAAATATGAAAGAAAATAACTTTTTTATTGTTCCTTTCCCCTCCCATCCCAGATCTTGCCAAATTTCCCTCGAAAGCCCAGAATTTTAAAAAATGAGATGAGCTCTTACTGAAACGCACAATAAATAACATAGCACATGATGATATATAGCTGTAGAGTTCTTTAGAAAAGTCTGAACTTATTTTCTTGGTTTTGAAATTTAAATATTAAGGTCTTAATCTGAAGGTATTGTGAAACAGAAAAGGGCTTCTTGGAAGATGACTCATTAACAGAAGAAATAGATTTCTGAATGGAAATGAACAACAACCCTTCCTTATTCTTGTTGCTACAAGTACCATATTCAGCGAGTCTAAAAATCTACTGGGTGAAAAAAATTCTCTCCATTTCACACTTCCTACAAGGACTTTAGCGGGTCCAGCTGGCCTAAAAAGTTGTCAGAATAAGACCAACTGTGCTGATACTAAAAGGAGAACAACAATTTCATTAATGCATAAGCAGATTATGATCGAACCATCCATCAGTTGATGGATTTTCCTTCTGTGACTGCATTCCTGAGGCAGTGCAGCAATAGTATTTTCTCATTTTTAACATTTAATATATTAACATAAGATTTTAATAAACAGTAAAAATGCATTTTAAGACACGTCATGAGGATCCCTTGACAAACAGACCTGAGAGGTCTGACTTTTGTGTATCTCATTTACAAAACCACAAATTGCAATGTCATGTTTTAAATTTTAGCCAAGATCAACCCATTTGGACCTGGCTACTATTATTTGACAACTTGCACTGCACACAGTTAAAAGCACCTACAGGCACTTGATAATAAGACTGGGAGAAGGATTTAAAATTCCCCCACCACAAGGTAATTTATGCTGGTTCTTCTGCAAGCTTTGCTTAAACCACTTCTAGCAAAGTGCTTTTGCTGAGCAAATATTGAGCATGAACAAACAGAATTCATTCCAGCAGAGCTGAACATCCTCAGCTTCTAAAAATCAAGAAATAACTTTCAGAAGTTGAATAAATGAAATGTCATTTTAAGATCAAAAGGCAGTGAAAGAACAAGATTAGTGGAAAACACCTGAATTCTAGCTTTATTTGCCAGGTTCTCAGAGACCCTGGGCATTTGAAGTGGCATTCTGAAGGATTTACCTAGTTTTTTAATCCCTGATGGCTCGCTGGTACATGACCCAATATATACAGAGTCTGAGGAAAGCACCTCAGCCCTCAAAAGAAAACACAAGACAAAACTACATCTCTGCTGCCATCTTGCTGCTCTCTCTCTAACTGCCACACAAACACCACAAGATACATTTTTGCAGCTACTTTGGATAGAAATCATTTTTGTAATGGATGTTTCACTGTACCCGACTGAGAAAAATACCCATTTGTCTCTAATTTCAACATGTGAAGTAGGTAAAAAATGGTGAAAATTTCCATTTTTTCTGTTATATGATACAAAGCTCATCTCCATACACACAAAGGAGCCCAGATGCACAAGGACAGCCCCTGACAGGCCTGTCCCAGGAGCCCTGGCTCCATGGGCTGAGGGGTGGCACTCACACCATGGAGCAAAAGGAGCAGCTCTCTGCATCCACCTCACTGGCTGATCACTTTTCACAAGGGCATGCAGGAACAGGACAAGGGGGAATGGCTTTGAACTAAAAGAGGGTACATTTAGATTGGGTATTAGGAATAAATTCTTTACTATTAGGGTGGTGGAGCACTGGAACAGGTTGCCCAAAGAAACTCGGTCTGCCCCATCCCTGGAAGTGTTCAAGGCCAGGTTGGATGGGGCTTTGAGAAACCTGGTCTAGTGGAAGGCGTCCCTGCCCACAGCAGGGGGGCTGGAACTAGATGATCATCAAGGTCCCTCTTTTTCTGGGTGAGGAACTCTATATTCTTTGTGCACTCATATGCAGGGGGGTCCGAGCACAGTAACTGGAGTCAGACCACAGGTCAGAGGCCTGGTGGGTCTGGAGCAAGCAAAGGTGCACAGCATGATGATTCCCACGTGATCATGAGGGAACATCAAGCTGGACCAGCAGAGTAGGCCAAGTGGTCTGGAAGCAGTGGGGGAGGGATTGTGTGTGTCTGGCTCTGTGTGTCCCTGAGGGGGGGGAAGGTCCCCAGAGAGACCAGGAGGCCCAGGTCAGCTGTCAGGAAGACCATGGAGCCTGGGGGGTTGACTGGGATCCATGGACACGCACATGGGCATCACAGTGTGCAAGGGGGATCTGTACCAGCAGCTGGACCGGGGCTGTGGGACTCGAAGGACTCACATGCTCACGTGCCAGTGACTGGGGAGACTGGAAACCAGGAGACAGCTGGTGGGTAGACAGTGACTAAGCCCAGTCCTGGTGGGATGCACACAGCCACTGGGATGCAGACAGAACATATGCACGTACACATGTTCTGCTAACAGACCTTTATTCTGAGCAGCCAGTGAGTAACATGACTCTTCATTCCTTGAACAACTGAGAGCTTCTTCCAACTTTCTACAAGTTCTTGCGATGTCACTCAAAGAGGTAATTAGTACCATCACAAAAATGATACCTCTAGCCCTACTGCCTGCTCAGGAAAAGAAAATAGGAAGCTACCACTGTGGAGTTTCAAATCAAGGGTAAACACAACGGTTATACCTCACAGCAGCTAACATTGCTACAGGTATATCAAGGAGATAAACAAAAAAAAGCATAAGGAAGAAACACTGAATACACCAAGTACAACACAATTTCTGGCCTAAAGATCTAAAGGCCTTCTAAAAGCATTTTTTGACTGTGCACATCCTACAGAGACATCACAAGCAGCAGGAGAGCAGGCTGACCTACGACTCATTTTTACCTTTTGACTTGTGTTTGCATTTATGAGGTTTTTTGCCTGATGGAAATAGAGCTGAATTAAAAAATATGTATGTACTGACAAAAAAAAATGGTTAAAAGTACATTTAAATATCAGTTTTCTCCCTCCCCCAAGTAAGGAAGAGAAAAAGGCAGATACAATATTTGCAGATATGAATGTCTTTCAAACTGACAAGAAATATCAAAACATGAAACAAAGATAGGATGACAAAATTATGTCGACAAGCCATTGTTAAGCATTGTGTCACTGATATTTGGAAATACCAGAAATAATCAGGATGAAATATTTACTGGCTTTTTGGGTTCAACCCTGGATTTCACAGGAACATAAAAAAATGGGTTCATTTTTTACTAAGATTAATGATTTCTTTTGAAATACTACATTCTAGCATTATAATATTAATAGCAGAGATGAAACATGAAAAGCTTAGGAATTCCAAAATATCCATTTGTTCCTGATTTAGTTATATGAAAACCTTGGAAGCTCAATATTCCACAGGTTTAATGATTTTATTAGCTATGGTAACAGACAAGAAGCAAGTTTTGGTTACTGCTCTTTACAAAAAATTTACAGGAAACCCCAAACCCATCTGACTCACATATGCTAAGACTTAGGATTAAATATGGCAATTTCTCATCACCTGCAGAGGCAGTTAATCACATACTTGCAGCTAAATTCATTCAATCTTGCTGTCAGAACTTTCATGTCTTCCTCTGTGTAGGAATGCATTTTCAGCAAAGTATCCAAGAAAACCCTAACAAGGTCATTTGGGCACAAATACACTTTGGTTTCTAGAAGAGGCTTAACATAAATCTCAAACCAGGCTATCTGCCTCATTCCATTCTCATTCACTCAAAGCCAGCAACATTTCCTTACTTGCTGGCTACCTCTTCTGCCAATGCTAAAATATAACATTAACTGCTTTTCTGGATGCCAGAAGAAGTAATCTGTCAAGGATAGGAACATTATCCTTTCCAGAAGACGACAACCAGCAAGAAAACAGACATTGCAGCTGTGTCAGAAGACATCACTAGTGTGCCTGCTAGCATTTGGGACAAACCCACTTGTGCTGTCTGGAGAACTCAATTCCTCCCATAGCAGCTATCCAAAAAAGATACCCAAGAGCAGGCAGCAATGTCTCTGAATCAGACTGCAAGAGCAACAGATCTGGCATTCACTGTCCCTCTGTACTATGGTTCTCTCTATATATGAGCTACAGAACAGAGAAATCACATTTTTCTGACAGGTACTTTAAAAAGGTCTGTGCTTTAGACTGGGGCGTCCCACAGTCTGGTTACACAGAGCCACAAAACGCACATTGTTAAGAAAAAAAATTCTTCAAACAATTTTTTGAGTAAGTTGCTCAATTGGCTGTTGAAAAGCCAAAAGCACATAATATCACATACTAGCTAGTCCTCCACACACTGTTCACACAGCCTGCATAGCTGGAACTCCCACAAACTTTCCTCAGGCATTTCTGCTGTTACCTGACACTAAGCTTGCAGAGGTATCTAATGGAAGAAAACATCCCATTCTTGACTAAATTAACATCTACTCATTTAGAATTTATCTAAGGCAAATAATTCAGCACAAGACCATATGGCAAAAGCATGGAATATCTTTCATTCATTGTTCACATAAAAAGAATAAAGTATTCTGGCTTGTATATTCTCAAATTAACACAGGTAGTCTTTTGAAAGTAAAGACTTCATTAAAGAGAGTCAAAATAGGTTCAAAGCTTTTCTGTCCTCTTCCTTTAAGGTAAAATAAATAAAAATTAAAAGGACAAATAGTTAAAACATTTTACAGTTTCACAGAATAGCTAAAGAGAAAAAAACACCCCATCCTGAGAAGACAAAATGATCTGATTAGGTTTTTTTGCCAAGCAGTCACATTGCATTCCATTGGCACACAAAACATTAACAAAGCATTCTTAATAACTGGTACTTAGTAGTGTTGCTACCAATCACCACTTACCTGTTACCTGGGGTACATATGGAACTGACAATCTTTCCACACTGTATCCACTGCCTCCTAATGATTCTGCAATCTTGTTCGTCAGGAAAAATAAATCTTTTTCATGCTTCTCTAAGGATTTTGGAAGACTGTCAAAATACATATTTGAAGTTATTTGTTGGTTACAGAAAATATTCTTCCAACGTCTGTGAGCAACCAATGGTAATGACTTGATGGAAATGAAGCTTGCTCAGTTTTTTAGGAATGAATATACACCCCAAATTAGTTTATTCAACACCTCCAGATTATTTTAAATTACCTTAACACTTACTGCCTATCTGAAACATGTTCTTTACCTATTCTGCTAATTTTGAGAGAAAATGGTCTGTTAAATAAAAAAAAAAAAAACAACCTGCAGAGCGATAGTAATATTAATAGTAATTAATTATTTACTAGCAACAGTAATATTTGCCATTTGCCAGCAGTGTGTGCTTGTGGCAAAAAAGACTGAGGTATCCTGGGCTGTATCCTGTATCCTGGCTGACAGGAGGAGCACTGTCAGCAGGTTAATGGAGATCCTGCCCCTCTACTCAGCTCTGGTAAGGCCACACCTGGACTACTGAGTCAGGTGCTGCACTCGCCAGGGAAGGTGAGGCATGGATTTACTTCAGGGAGTCCAAAAAAGGGCCACTAAGGTGGATTAAGGGACTGGAGCATCTCTCCAATGAAGACAGACAGAGAGAGCTGGGACAGGTCATCATGGAGAACAGAAGGTGGATCTTATCAATGTGTATGACAATCTTAAGGGAGAGAGGGGTGGAAAGGTCACTGTCTTGTCAGTGCTGCTCTGTGACAGAGCCAGAGGCACTGGCACCAACAGAAACACAGAAGGTTCTGGCTGAACATCAGGAAACAGTTCCTTCCTGTGAGGGTGACCAAGCATTGGCACAGGTTATCCAGAGGGGTTGTGGAGTCTCTATCCTTGGAGATATTCCAAAGCCATCTGGATGTGGTCCTGCACAGTCTGCTCTTGGTGGCCCTGCTTGAGCAGGGACCAGATGACCTCCAGAGATGCCTTCCAGCCTCACCCATTCTGCGATTCAGTGAAAATGCATTTGGCTGTGTTAGCATGCACAGCAAGCATCATATTGTGAGGGTGTAAGTGCCTCTGACTACAATAAAAGAGTCCAAAACCTACTTTTTCTTTTTCCTATACACGCACATGCTTTCAATATTTGGGTTTCTTCTGATTACCCTGTACACTACTAAACCCCTAAATTATTTTTCACATACATAACATATTTCAGTGATGTCTAAATTTTAACAACAAAAGAGGTACTTCACTGCCCACTAATTGACATTTGGTATCTCCTTACTCGCATTTGTCTTTGAAAATTGTTTCTGGGAGAAAATAAGATGCTTCCACACTTCTAGTTTCAATGACCTGAAAAAAAACACAAGACAAATAGTACAAATAGAGTAGTTCCATAGTTTTTTTTTCCAATAACTAACCCTCACTAACACCTACTTCAGCACAAATGAGACCTTTAGAATTTCTTTTAACCAGAGAAACAGACTGTGGCATTCACCCGTTTGGACTAAAAATCTGGTTCTCATGGTCTTCTACATGTCAGTACTTTTCCACGCAAGCCAGTGAGGGTGTAAAGTCTTATACCAGATGAAGATTTAGCCCATTATATGTGGCACTTATAAACAAAGTAAAAATGCTATACTTTGAGAGAAGACTATTCTGTTTATAATTTTAAGAGTCAGCAAGTAATGCCATCAGAGACTGAAGACCAAGAGCAACGTCAGTGGACACAAATATGGGGGAACATCATAAGCAATTACGTGACACAAATTATTTACTCATTTTACAGTAGAATGTGTACTGTCATAAATGATTTGAATTATTTAATTATGTGTTACCTTGCTGACATGCTGACAAAAGGCAGGGACTGCAATCATCTGACTCAGAAAGTTTAGATAAGCTGCAACCAATGCCATTACACCACAGCGATTAAACATTGGCAGATTATCCTCGTTGATGATGGCAATGTCCTGAAATATAAGGGATAGCATTATGCTTTCCAAGGTTAACAGGCTGTCCTGAATATATGGAAGTCAAAATTAGTAGTAGTAACACTACCTGACATATGATGACTATCTGCTACTACTTAGCATTTGACAGCTCTCATCTTAAAATTCTAGTCTTTTAGCTCACTCTCCTGAATTACAAATGTATTGATCTGAAGTTACAGAGCTTAAAAGATTCAACCATTACGAAGAGAAATACATTTACTCAACTCAAAATTCTGTTTCTCAGAAAGGAAGTACAGGTTAATAACTGGTAATCTCTTGTACTTACCACCTCCTGATCAAAACATTTTTTCAGGAAAATTAGAAATAGCAGTTTAATCACAAAAATCACCTGTGTGAGTCACAGATACGGCACCGTAAAGGGAATTATTTAATCCTTATTAGCATTTCTATGTTTATTCAGAGTGCATTATTTTTGCTCCAGTAAAACTCATAATGTCATTTTCATCAAGTAAGGATTTGGTTCAGTGACATATTTTATAATTAAGGATGCACCCTGCATTTCAGAGGTTTCATAATACAGATGAACATTTGAGAACAAGATTAATAACAAAGAGAACTGGGAATACAGGCACTGATTTCATCAAATTTCCAGGGCACATGTTAGCACTCCTTTATTTTTTTTTAATGCTTTGATTTCAACACAGAAAAACTTAGTAGGTTTGACAGTTTCCCTGAAGACTGTATGCAAGTATGAGATAATGTATGACTTTTTTTAACGAAATGTTAAGGAATAAAACCTATCAACACACTAACAGATATTTTACTCCAAGGTGAGATTAAATAGTTTGGTTTGAGAAATATTTCCAACCAATCAATTATACAAAAGCTTTCATCCAAGGTGAGGACAGTCCATACATTTTATACAGAACACTGATGCACAATGACAGGTTGTAAGAACACCTTTTCACTCTGCTAACGAATATCAGTGATTCTAGGAAACGTTTCAACAAATTTCCACATCTGCTACTTTTCCTGACCAGCACATGCTGTAGAAATTTGTTACAAAACTGATTAGTTGAAGCTTCCCCTTTAATAAGTGGCACGTACAAAGTGCACTTCCTTAGTGGATCAATCACGTTTGGACCAAATGATGAGATTTCCAATTTGAAGATCAATACACAAACAAAACAAGTTACCCACATATCCAATTACAAATATAAATTGTCAGTCAACGAACCCCAAACCAACTCAGCCTCGTACCTGCAAGGCAATAGCTAATCGAATGAGGTCAATAACCACTTCTTCGTTGGCCAGTTCAATTGTGGTAAGAGCTAGAGATGTAAACAGCAGTTCAAAGTTTTTCTGGACATTGTCTTCTTCTTTGCAGCCTAAGTAGATGTGTCTGTACAACTGCTGACCATGCTATAAAAGACGTAAAAGGGAAAATGAGTATTAAAATAATAGAATAATTTAGATTGAAAAGGATAATTAAGGGTCTTCTAGTCCAACTCTCTGCTCCAAGCAGGGCCAACTTAGATTCCTTGTTTCCATAAATGGACAATTTATTTTTGTTTTAATATTTCAACAGGAAATGAATGCCAACATCTAATCACAGTGCAGTATTCATGCAATTCTCAGCATAAAATAGAACAGGACTGTGTTTATGAAGAAGTTGCTGTTAGAAACTGGTGGTAATATTATGTACTTGTTTGTGTGTGTATGTGTATACATGTATTTTATCCTTTTTTTATTCTTTTAATTCTCTGTCTAATTTCATGCATGCAAGGGTTTTCACCTAAGACATACATAGCAACTTTATTCCATGGAACCATCTTGAAAGTATCTAGAGCACCTCAACATCAAAATCCCTGTAATTTGATTAAAATAATTTGGTACCGATCTTTGCAACTTCTTGCAAAAATACAACTGCAGAACAAAAGCAAAATAACTGGTTCAGTTGTTTTATTTCTAGATAGGAAAGTGATGTATGACTATTACCTTTTTCATGAAGCTCACATCTTGCCTTGAAATCTTGTCTCGTTTTATCTTTAGATCAGAAACATCTGGTATTATTCTACAAACGGAAGAAAAATATCGTTTTAGCAAAAAAAAGTTGAAAAGGAAGAGAATGTAAAATATAGGAACTATTCAAACAAATCTTGATGCAATTTCCATTTTAATTATATCCAGTCTTAACAATGATAAATTTCAATTGAAGAGGGAGAACAATAAACAGAATTATGACAACCACGGTATTTTTTTTCTCTGCATAAAATAACATTGTCTTCCACAGCTAAACTAGCAGATATTTGAAATGGTTATTTAAGGTGTGAGCACTGAGGCTTACCAGTAAAACACCTGCCATCAATAAAAGACACTGTGCCCTGTGCATTTACCAAAACAGTACATTAAAATTCCACATTAGCAAAAGTGTTTAAAAATCAACAGTATTTATCATTCAGGTGTTAAACCAGAATTTCTAGCAGGCCAAAGCAAACCAAAAGCAGTACCGTATCCCCCTGAGCTTCGCTCTGTTGTCATGCCGATCGATGAGGTTGTGCAGGATTTCCAGGACCAGCTGCCTGAGCTCAGAGTCCTCCATGAGGGAAGGAGACAGTAACGGGTCCAGGAACGGGGCAGGAAGTGCATTACTGATCGTTGTGGCTTTGTATCCTGAAGTCACCTGTTCATTGTCGGAAGTAAAATGAATGTGTGTGTCGTTACTGCACTGTAAGAATTAATTGCGTTCGTCACTCACCTCTTAGTGGGCTTGTTTTGGCATCTGAAAGGCAGATTCAAATTGAAGTATTGGATTAATTTTTGAAAATTCCTGACCTCACTATGGATTTGGAAGGACTCCAACACACATTTTCAAATTAACTTTCTCATTTGTTAAAAGGATTGTTTCTCAGGATCCTTCCTTTACCAAGATACTCAGAAGAAAAAATAAGGTATGATTTATGATTTTTTTTTTTTAAATGACCTATGAAAAGTTGTAGGGCATAAAATGAAGATGGTAATAATTACAATAGAGATTTTTCCATTTCAGGCTATGAGCTGTTCACATATGGTACTGAGTAAGCTCACATAAATTAAAATAGAGAAGTCAGAGCCTACATGTACATCTTAAACACTTATTGATACTACTTTATTGCAAAACATAATGTAAGCAGCAAACACCACCTTCTTAGAAATCTAGTATCGTGGTGGTTTTTTGTTTTCTTTTGTTAAACTAATACTACCTCTGACTTGCCTTATTCAATTACTTTTAATTAAAGCAAATTCTGTAGGTACATAAACTTCTACCTGACAATTCAAATATTAATTAGCTGAACCTTTACAGCAGTCAGAAATGTTTAAAATTTAAAATGGAGGTTATCAGAATACTAGAATCTCAAAACCAAAACAGATTCAGAAACTGCCAAGTATAAGGTATTGATAATGAGGGGAGAATAAATATTCAAAATTTAATTATAATTGTGATGGTTTTAGTCTAGGCCTTCCTTGGTGACCAGTTTGTAACCAAGGAAGGAGCCAAGTACCCAGTATTCCACACAATTTTTACGTAAACCAGAGTATAAATAAGTTGGAGATTAGAGACCTCTCTCTCTTCTCTTCCGGCGAAGTTTGGGAACAGTGAGTCCCTGCGTTAGTCTCGCTTATCTAAGGCTGAGGCCTACAGAGTCCACTGTCCTGCCACGTGGAGATTTGGAGAGTGCTGGCTGTGACTGCCGATCCTGCTGTTCTAAGGGACGTGGTGAGATTTGTTTTGTTAGTTATTAGTATAGTTTGATCTAGTATACCTGTTCGGTGTCCCTTTTGTTTCCTTTTGTCCCCTTTTTCCCTTTCCCTATCCCTGCGGGGGGTGGACCCCCTTTTTACGGTGTATATAGCATCTTAACTGTATATAACTGTAATTTACATAAATATAGATATATTTTTATATAAGCAGCTTGACTGTGAGTTCTTTAATTTTTATAGTTTCTTTCTCCTTTAACCTAAGGGAAGAAAGGAAGGGGGAAGAGGGCTGCTGTCCTAGCTTTCAGGCATTTGGCAGGGAGCCAAGTCCAAACCGTCACAATAATAAACACAGTAATATTTTTATCTAAGGCTTACCTAATAATTGTATCTTTATTATACATATTCCATACTCTTTTACATGTGAACTGTCTTGTGCTGATTTTGGCTGAGATAGTTAATTTTCTTCATAGTAGCAAATAGGCTGCTGTGTTTTGTGCTGTGCTCTAGATTTGTGACCAAAACAGTGCTGATAACATGGAGTTGATTTAGTTACTGCTGAGCAGAGCTTGCACACTTCCAGAGGGACATCCTACACTAAAATGTGTCATCTCAGCAACAAAAGAGGTGGCAGTTTGCAAGGGCTGCCACTCCACAGGGACTGGCTGGGTATCAGCTGGCTTGTGGTGAGCAACTGGGTTTTGGGTGGAGGTTTTGTTTTATTTTATTTTATTATTACTTTCTTTTGTTCCCTAGTTTTGTTTCTCTTGGTTTCCTTCTTTTACTTACTAAACTGTCTTCATCTCAACCCACTTTTTCACTGGTACCTTCTGATTCCCTCCCTCGTCCCTCTGGGGAGAGTGAGGGAGCGACTGGGTGGTCCCCGGTGCCTGCTGGGGTTCAAGCACAGCACGGGAGGAATCACTGGGCCTGCAGTATAACTGAAGGTGTTCAAAAGCGAAGTGGCTGGCAGAGAAGCACAAGGGCAACATGAAGGTATCTAATCAATCATTTTGTAAAGGGAAAATGACTGATATTACAAGCAGTAAGGCTGCAAATGCATGCGAACACTTTTAATGAAGTGACAGATTTTAACTGCCTATTAACATTAACTTGTCTGCCTGTGTGTATGCAATGACAACAGACTAATTATTTTATGAAATATTATTCTGTTGTAAAGAATACATGATGTACAATGCTCAAATTTCTTTCATTTATCAATGTCTGAGTAATTCATTAAGCATCAGAACATTCACTTTCACACCTTTGTGCCATGATGGGATTTTACTCCCGTATTCTAAAGAGAAGGAAAATTGAAATTCAGTGTCCACAATGTCAAATTCCTTCCACACGCCCAACCTGAATCCCTTAAAGCACACTTTAGGCTATGCAGTGCCCAAAATCATTAGAACAATTCTTACTATCTTGGATGGAACTTGAAGACTGGTGAGATGAATATTGTCAGGAACAGTTTAGATGTACCTGAGCCTTATCTTTACTGGAGAAAATGTGCAAAATGACCACCTGAGGCCCTTTCTACACAAGTTTTCTATCCTTAAATTGCAACTGTCAACGCTCAGGTCTTCTGCAAACCACAGTCTAGGATTTCAGATTTGGACAAGCAAAGAATGGTTTAAACAACTTGCCTAACATCACACACAAATTTCATGTCAAAACAGGGACAGAAGCTCATTTTCCAGGATGCTATTCTTCTGCTTTAGTTGTGAAATCATTCTTTATGCTGTATCCTCTGCTTCAGTGACTATACAGTTTTCAGCTTCTGCAACAAAACAGGCCAGGATTCTACTGGCAAGAGTCTCCTTTCCTACCCACTTTCTGATTCTTACCATCTGTTTCTATTTCCAGAAATACTCTTTAAAGGTTTACAGTTGAAAAATGTATTTGTGATAAAATACTCAGTCATACCTTACAAGAAACTTGGCAAATATTAGGAAGGAAAGAACAATTGTGTCTGAGGTTTTAAGGGCTTGAAGATAGGCATCTACTCCTATGGTTTTAAAAATATTGTCCATTCTACTAATTAGTGCTTTTCTGGGCTCAGAGACAAAAGTGATTTCATTTTGATATTGCCAGTATTGCTGGCAGAACTCAACCTACTCTAGGATGTTCTTTTGGATCTGCAGATCCAATTATAACTGATACTCACTGAAGCGCTTTAAGAGATGGAGGAGTATTTCTTGAGCTGTTTGTCATGTAAGTTGGGAAAACGCTTTCACAATTTTACACAGCAGAATTACAGATGTACGTAATAGGAATGTATGTTTAATTTCATAATCCAGAGTTGTTATACTGTGCTTCCGTGTGTAAATACACAGACAAAGTGAAACATGTGTTTATAACATAGAGCACTGAGCACAAAAGGCTTACCATAAGTAAAGATCTCAGTAACATGATTTGAATCCTTCTAGTTCCCAAATCTCTGCAATTAGAAAAAAAAAAAAGTTGCAAATTAGATTTTTTTGCATATCTCCAAAATATTACCTAGACATCATTTTAACAACTGCATTTCTACAAGTGAATACAGCAGTCTTGGAAGGGATGCTGGATGATCACAAATAAAGGGCAAATATCTCCAACTGAGGTACAATAACTAAATGTTTTTGAAAGAGACATTTACAGAAAGGCTTAAAAAATGGAGCTCATGCCATTGAAGAAAACAGTGAATTGTATACTGTAAAGCAGATCTAAAACTCATGTTTCACTTAGCAATCTCTTTGTATCTAAAACGTTCAACCACTACAAGCTTGACTTTATTTTCACAAGCATCAGCATTCAGAATTTCTTCTGAATTAAAATGTAATTGAGTCTTCTAAAGAAACAAGGACACTTCTTATTTAAATCAGACCCAAGAACTCTGAGACTGGGAAAATGTTATCTGCAAAATCAGTACGGAAAACTGAAAGACCCCTCAGTTTTCGTATCACAGGAAGGTACACAGAACACGACTTAACCTGTTCTTCATCTGTTTTCACTTTCCTTCTGCTGGTACTAAAAGAGGTCAAATAGCTAATGGTATATAGTCACTACTCTTGCAAGATCTTAGGAGATAAAGTGCACTTGGAATAAATTGCTCCATTCAAAGAGACCCTCTCAGGAAAAAAAAAAAAAAAGGTACAAACCATTTTGTGCATCAATAGCATAAAGAAAGAGCAAAACTCTCCACAGGAGTTGGCCCCTACATAACAGTGGAAACTTATACCTACAGGGGCTATAATCTGGCTATTGTATCATTCAAATGTCTCAGGTAGCAGAGACCAAAATTTCACACAGTGCAAAACTGTATGAGCAGTCACAATGCCTGCTGTATTCAGAATGACACATGCACATCATACTAACACACACATTTACACATAACCCTAGAAAAGGAAAATTGTGTAGGTAAAAAAACAGTCCCCCCAGCTGCTCATCCAAGCACAGAATTTTACATGGACTTGTTCTTCAAATACCTTCTTAATGAGAGATAACTGCCTGGCACAGATAGATTTCTATCTTCCATGGAATATCATCCCATGCTGCAGAGACACAATACTGTACTAAAAGCCAGGAGAATGGCAATGACTTCCTACTTAGTCTAGCAGGGGACCAGTTATGTGGTGCAGTGTCCATGCACATCTGGAAAGAACAGCTGCAGCCTCTTCAGTGACTTTCCCCATACTGAGGAAGCACAGTCTTTTCCACTTAATTATTCATGTTACAGGGAAAAAAATTACTTCAGTGTATGGCAACATTTTAATTATGGATTTATTACAGAAATCTGACCATCTACAGCTTTTTCTTATTTCTAAACAAAGAGGGAAAATTTAAAACAAATTCACTGGGATTTCTGCAGTTTATTTCTTAAGCTGAAGTAAGTTTGAACAGAATGTATTAAAAACAAAAAATATTTGAAAATTATACAGCTATTTGCAAAAAATGTAGTCATAGTCCAATTTCCCTCATTCCCAAAACACACATGTAAGAAATTATGGAATTAATCAGCATTCACTGGATAAATTCAGAAACATCTGTACAGATGTGGAGAGAAGAAATGTTTAAGTGCAAAATAAGCTTGATTCCAATCAGGTATTTTCTATCAGTATCAAGTCTGTAGACTGATTACATATTGCTGGCACTGTGCTTATCTTGGTTCTGCATAGTATTTAACATAGCTCCTAATGAGTAAGGATTTGTATTTCACTTTTCTTAATGGTTTTCACTTCACACTGTATCAAAAATCTAAAATCAAAATTTTATTTAGAAATTTAAAAATGCAAGATATACAAACCCAAGGTGGCTGGTATCCAGTGACTGTGAAGTCCCCAAAACAGGTACTTTGCCCATAATGAACATCATAATCTCTGATCTCTGGTAATCTGGGAGATTGCTTCCAAAAAATCCTAAATAAAAATAGAATGAAATCACTCTTTATAAGGAAAGCCTTACAAATACAAGGAATATATTAACAAAGTCAAAATAGATGAGAATAAAATTATGATTTGTTTTAGGCCATAAACTCACATGTTCATTTCTGCTGAAAGGCTTTAGAGAGTCTTTCTGTGACATTTGCTTCCAACTCTGAATCCTAAAGCTTTCTAATTTTATCCTCCTCTGAATAAACCATTTAAAAATTAAGGATGTGGCATCTGTTAATTTGTAACTAGTGAGGAATTGGAAGTGCTGTAACTTTTGTCTGTTAAGTCTCTATTAAGTATTACAAGTGAGGGGACAGAAATCCCAGACATACAAGTGTTATATATAACTGTTGCTGTGTGGAGGGACTGACAATGCGAGCAGCTCCCAATGGAAGTGAAATGCTCCAGGGAGCTGCACAGGGGGGTTTCCTGAACCAAAGGAAATTCAGGGGAGCAGAAAGACTCACCTGGAGCCCACAGCCTGTGCCACAATGGCTGAAGGGGCTTGTGCAGGGCCAGGAGAAACATCAGGCACGCACCCCCTCCCCAGCCTTAAAGATATCCCTTAGGGAGTGCTAGCAACAGTTGGCACACAAGGAGGGTGCTGTAGCTCTGCCAGCTTGACCAGGGAGAAATTTCTATCCACAGAAGGCTCTGGCTTCCCTGAGCTCTGCACCCCTCACGACTGAGGCAGCTGCCCAGACAAAGCTCCAGCAGGACACTGTCACCCCAATGCCAGCTGCAGGCTAAGCCCTGCTCTTATGGCAGCATGGCCACAGCTCTGCGACTGCACCCAGGGACGGGAACAGAGATAGTGCTGTTATTCCCAGCATTCCCCATGGAAAGAGACCTGGGGTTCCTGGTCAATGGCAAGTTAAGTGTGAGTCAGCAGGGTGCCCTGACAGCCAGGAGGGCCAACTGTGTCCTGGGGGGCATCAGGCACAGCATTGCAAGCCGGTCTAGGAGGGTGACTGTCCCACTCTGCTCTGCACTGGGGCAGCCTCACCTCGAGTCCATAGTTATGGGTACCTCAATATAACATCAAAGTATTAAGAGGCTGTTCAGAGGAGAACAACCAACATGGTGAAGGGTGTTGAGGGAAAGACTTCTGATGAGCAGCTGAGATGACTTGGCTTGTTCAACTTGAAGGAGAGAAGGCTGGGGGTGCTCTCATCACAGTCTACACCTTCCTCAAGAGGGGCAGTGGAAGGGGAGGTGCTGATCCCCTTTCTCTGGTGACCAGAGGTAGGACACGAGGAAATGAAAGGAAGCCACATCAGGGGAAGCTCAGATGGGAAAAGGTTTCTTATTGAATAGGTGGCTGGTCACTAGAACAGGCTCCCCAGGGAAGTGGCCACAGTACTAAGCCTGACAGAGCTCAAGGAGCGTCTGGACAATGCTCTTCGCATGGTTTAGTTGTAAGAAGTCCTGTGAGGAGCAGGGAGTTGGAATCGATGACCCTTATGGGTCCCTGCCAACTTCAGATATTCTATTCTATTACTGTGCAATAGTACAGAGTTAACTTGGACAGAAACAAGCTTTACTTTAAAAAGTTGGGTTGTGGGGTTTCCAGCACTTTTTTTTTTGGGGGGGTGGGGGGTAACATTTTGAGTTTTACTGCAATGAAGAGAAAAGCTTCAAGGTACAGATTAGTGAACAACATTTAAGTTGCACTGCCCCTTGTTCTTTAAGAAAAGGAATAGACATCATATATGCAGAGCAATATATAATATATCTACCACAAAGAGAAAATCTATTCTAACAAAATAATTTACAGAATTTGTTACTCCAATTTCAGTGCTGTAAAGTACTTAAGCTGTAGCAGCACATCCGGCCATTAGGTGTCATTGTTGCTACTGGTTTAACATTCGTTTTCACAAGTTTTCAGGTAGCACCCACTAAAATATATATTACTGTATATGATTGTTTGCAATATGATTTTCATAAAAGGACTAATATTAGTTCTGTACCAAAAGTAGGGATTTATTTCTATACTTCAAGGGCCAGATAATAATATAACTAAAATTTCTTTTAAGTCTACCAGCTTTTTTTATTATCATCGAGACTCTTCCCTATCTGCTCAGTTAGCATTTAAAAGAACAATCTTTCAGAAGACAAATACCTAAAGCGAGCCCGAGAATGAGGCAAATACAATCAGAGATATCACACTTGCTATTATTCTTTTTGGATTCAAGCTGGTCCAATACCACCTCATTGTGGAAGGGGAAAAACAGGAGGGATTTCAAGTGAGCCTGTGTTAACTGTCCTTACTCACCAATTGTCTGAATAATTGCATTCTGGACAATCCTCTCATCACTCTCCTTGGAGCTCGTGCTGAAGGTGGCACTTCCCGCTGAGCTGCGCCTGTCACCCAGCTCGAAGTCAACGCTGATGCGCAAGTGCTTCAACAAGGTATTAAACACCTCCAGAACTGTCGGGCCTGGAAACAACAAATAACAGTGATTGCACCTGGCAAGGGAAAGATGTCTTAAGAAAATGAAAACTGACCTTTTCAATCCCTTTTCAAAAGAAATCAGAGTAAGCATAGAAAACCCAAGTGAAATTCAGTGTTTGAGGCGTAAGGCCTAGGGATGAAGTTTTGAAGTGTGCCTACACCTTGAAGTTCTAGGAATTAACTTGGAATTGGGAAATGCAATCAGATATGTCTGCATAATCCATTCTGATCAAGTATACTGGGTCTGGCCAGGATGCAGGTAACTTTTTTTTTTCCTTGTGCATGCAGCTTTTGCTCCACCCATTAACTGTCTTCATCTTGATCCAAAGAGACTTCTCCCCTTCTGTCTACATTGTCTCAGTCCTGTGGGAAAGGGGAATGAGCAAAGAGCTGTTGGGCAGAATCAAGCCACCATGCAAGTTTCAGATAAAAAACAGGAGTGGTTGCTGAAATTAAGCACCAACAATGGGTTAAACTGCAGGTACTCACCCCTGAACTTCAGTTATTTCAAAACCTGCTACTAAAATCCAGTTCTATATATTGGATCAAATAATGAGCTCTTTTCATCATACAGTAAAAGATTTCACAGGTCTGTGCATGAAGGTGGGTCTTGAATAAAGAGAAAGGACAGGCTCAGACTCAAACTAATGAAGCAGAGCAATACCATTACAGCAGGAGACCAAAAAAAATCAGGACCAGAGCACATGTGTGTTATGTATTTTCCTAACTACTCCTATTTCAAGGAACTCTACCACACTTAAATTACGTATTTCACCTTGTTTCAGCTTCACAGTTATTAAGGTAAAATTTCTCAGAAGATCATTCTACTCAACTCCCAAATTATCACTCAGGTCACAGCAGCTGGGTCAAAAAGTGACAGTGCTCTTGACATTCTGTAGTCACACACAGTCCTCTCAGACTTTGTGAACTTCTTAAAAAACAGGAGTTCCTGCCTTTCACAATTTTTTCATTCAGTTTTTCAATACAAGGGTTATATAACAGTCAAACAACTAAGTAAGTACGTTTGAGTAATTTATCAGCACAAAGGAGAAAACACGAGTAAACACAAAACCTTCTCAAAATAAATGCTGTCATTCAGTCTGAAACCAAAGCAAAAATGAGCACCACCCTGCAAATCTATCCTTTGACCCGATGCCTTAACTTTAATACAACTTACCTATTGATCCTTTAGCTGCTATTGCAACTGCTTCCAAAAGAACCTGAATAATGCCAGCACGAACTCGTGGTGAGTCCCTTTTGCGGACGTCAAGGTGGCCAAGGATTTCTTGTATGACATGATGGGAATATTGTGCCTATTAAAAAACAGACAGAAAAGCTTCATCTGTGACTTTAATGAGAATGAACTCATGCACTGCTCAGCTCTAGTCATGACCATGTTCCTGTTCTGCAACACTTTCATTCAGAAATTTATCAAAATTTCCCTCAATTCATGACTAAATATGGATTCAAAAAACTACCATGACAGATGAAGCTACACAGGTCCATTCAGCCCAGTATGCAAAAGTTTAGAGTCTTAAAATATCCAGGAACATCTACAGCACAGAGGAAGTGTGAAATGGTCCTTCACTGAGCTAACTGCACTTCAAGGACTTCAGCACCATTGTTATAAATGCTGAGAAAACTCAGCTTTCTTCTACAAACCTGGACTGTTATGACTAGATCTTCTGCATGTCTGTTTGACACAACCAAAGAATCAGACCTGGATCATGTTTACCACAGACAATCATATAATCATAGAATGGTTTGGGGTGGAAGGGACCTAGTTCCAACTCCCCTGCCATGGGCAGGGAGCCTTCCAGTAGACCAGGTTACTCAGAGACCCATCCAGCATGGCCTTGAACACTTCCAGGCATGGGGCATCCACAACTTCTCTGGGAAGCCCCTACAGTGCCTCACCACCCTCACAGTAAAGAATTTCTCCCTAATATCCAACTTCCACCTTCCCTCCTTTAGCTTAAGGTCACAATACCGGCTGCTCACTTGTAAAAATCTGGAGCACAACACCGTTGCATGTGAAGTTGGTTTCTTGAGCTGTAAAAACAGCACAGCTGTATTGGCACAGACAAATAACCAAGCTGAGAGATGTATTTGTCAAGCACAATGTCAGATCAGTATAGCTATCCCAGTCCTCACTCTGGAGCTTGCTGAAGGACCTCTACACTACTTGCCACTGGAGTTTTTGAAAGGGACCTTTTGGATCCTTTGACTTCATCTACTGTCTACCACTGTCATGGGAAGGTGAGCATTTAAACCACTCCCACGTGCTCAAAACATGTATGCAAGGAAAAAAAACGCTGGAGAAAATCCTACCTGTATCGAATACATGATGATTTTAAAGCAGGAAACAGCAAATTCATTTGGATCCCATAGTCTATGATGGTCTAAATGTCTGTAAGAAAAAATTAAAAGACCTGAAGTAACAACATTCTGCGGATATAATGAATGGTATTTTAGGGTTTTCTCAAAATTCACCTCAAAGGGATTATTTACTTACATAAAACTTCTAAGTAATGACTTACTGACTCAGTAAGAAATCTAAAACTTCAGAAAAGCACTTGTTTTCAGGGTTTAGGATGTAAATCACAGTATATGTGGCTGAAAAAGAAATGCCTGAGCTTCTAGTTCCAGAAATCTAAAGAACCTCATCACTCCAAAGATATGCAGTTAAGAATATAGTGTTTCCACACAAATTACATGTGTAAAAATGGCTGTGACATTAGATGCTCATGAGATGCTGATGAGGATGTTGTAACACCACAACAAACTTCTACTCTATGGAAGATAAATAATTTGTTTTTAATCACGAGCTACAAAATAATTAGGGCTGAATGTTCCATCCAGAACAGAGACTCTAAGAACTATTTTTGTTTTCACGGTGGTTTCATGAATAAAATATGTGGAAAACAAAAAAAAGGTTATTCTTTATGCATATACACCTTTACATCTGAAGCATTTCATCAGTTTCTGCAAGAAAGATCAAAACAGAATCCAAATGATAAATGCATTGTTTTAATTTTTAAATGGGAGAGGAACCACAAATGAAAAACTCTGTCAAGAGTTCTAAGCAAATACAAGGAATTCTGCTTAAGAGCTATGCTGAAAGGTATGAATAGGGCACACAAAGTTTTGCAAAAAGGAGATCTGAAAATCTGAAAAAGCCTGACGAAAATAACTGCATTTTTCAATCTGGAAGACTGAAAAAAAGAGATAATTTTGGATGTATTTTAATTGGTATGATTTAAGTTTTAAAAAAACTAAACCAAACCCAACAAATTCACCAAATAAAAACAAACAAACAGGCCAAGCCAACAAAAAACTTCCTAAGAGAAACTGATTGTAGGTTGTGTTTCTAAACATGTATCTCAGCTACAGAATCATTACTGCTCTGCTCTTTCTCAAAGAACTTAGGAAACACATCAAGATGCTTCAAACAGCAAGCTCAAAGGCCCACAGGTGAAAGGAATCAGTGCTCTGAACACAGGAGGACTGACTGGATGCCTAAACTTTCTCTGCCTAGAATATGGAGGTCTCAATTCACTCACAGCTGCTCCCAGCACAGTGACCCAGCTGAGTACAGAGGTCTCCTTCAAGGTTGATTAAACCAGCTGACACAAAGCTACCCTCTCTGGTGCCCTAAATTGTCTTGCAGTCCACTGCAGAGCTTAAAAAAAAAAAAAAAAAAAAAGAGTACTGCCATTTTGACACATTACATACCTTTAATAGAAATCCCTACAGGAAAGAATGTCAGGGATTTTAAAGGTGTTTGCCTGTCAAGATAACAGCAGATTTGCATTACTAAATATCAAACCTGCTGGGGATAGCTGCCTTTCTTGTGCACACTGCAAATGCACAGGTATAATTAATCCTGCCCTGGGGTAGAAAAACAAACAAAATCACCTCTTTAAATCCTTCAAGGTACAGAGGCTCATAATGTATTTATTCATGTCTTCTTCCTCCCTAATATCATTTCAGTATAGTCCATCATTTCTTCTACATGATAGCTTATTTTAGCTAATCTATTTTATTTTTGTCTCATCAAATACAAAATCATACTCTCCACTATTTTCTCCTGATTGGAACTGATCTCTTAATCTTCCAGGGCAGCATGTGTGCTCTGTTACCCTTGACACTTCCTATTTATGTGCCCCAAACATCCATTCAGACAGATTATGGTCTACTACATCTTATATCATGTTAAAAAAAAAAAAATTCCTCTCAAAACAAGACATTCAGTTTTCTTTTTCCACAAAGGCCAAGTATTAGCTGCTTTGGGTAGATGAACTGACGGGATGACACCAGGGGGAAGGTGACAGCCTAGGTTAAAGATCTGTGTAACAGCTCAGTGGGTAGCATACTTTGTGTACTAGAATTTTCCTCTTAACAACAGCAGTATTGGATTACTGTAGGTGACATATTTTATTGAACATAACAGGGTGTATTCCATAGTTTTGTTTTGTTCTTGTAAAAGAGGGTGAAGGGTATTTTCAGCGTGGTGCATTTACTTCGTTAAAATCAAGTCACACCTTGACTCCCCCTTTTTTTTTTTTTTTTTTTAAATTACATTTCTTTCACTAAAGAATATCCAAGTAAGGTTTCAAAACATTTTACTGCTGGATTAACAAATGTCAAGCTGCCTTCCATGGAGATCTGCTGTATGTATGTGTCAAATGTGCACAACTGGGTTTCTCAATTTAAAAGGAACAGCACAACCAATCATGCAAATTACTTTATGGACAGAGAGAGCCACTAATGATCCCTGAACTCCCTCTCACTGTCACACACACAAGCAATCCTTGCAATACAAGATGATAAACTGATACTGAGGATTAGAAAGCATAACTGAGACATACATGTATAGAAAAATGCAAAATAATCTGCTCATGCACCAGTCTTTTAGTGTTTGAAACCCCTGCAGAGGTGATCTGATAACTGACAAGAAAGGAAATGCAGTAAGATAAACAGTTGTTACACTTAGGAAGTTTTTTTGTTCACTAGGTTTCTGGATCTCTCTCTGAATCTTCCTAATCTATTCATCACTGCAAATTTATGCTCAGTAAGGCTCAATAGCTTCTGATTGTTGACACAATGTAGAAAATTTTCTCAGGTAATGTTAATATAATTACTTTTTTTACTTTCATTAAGCAATTTGCTACATTGATCTGTCAGATTTCATTAAAAATTATTATTTGAGAGTATTTAGCTATATGAAGACAGGGAGATTTTCCACCAAAGGCAAGGAAAATTAAGGTCAATCCAGACCTGTATAAGGAGACTGACTTCAGATTTCTACTACCTTCATTAGATTTAAATTCCTCAATCACTGAACACACCCAGTCTCATAATGACAGAAACATTATTATCTCAGTTTTGCAAGGAAGTGATACCATGTTGCCTGATATTCCAGTGCCAAGTGAAGCAAGTCTTCCACTGGGGAACTGAACCTGCACCTTCAGTGTTAACATGAGGCTTTATCTATTTCTCCAGAGTTTTCTTAAAAGCTGTAAAATTGTTGAAAATTGTTAGGAGAAACTGTTTTCTAATCATAAGGTAAGTCAGGTTTTTCAATCCAACAAAGTACAATGGACTCACTATCTCACACTTTCATTCTACCTGTTGTGCTCACTCACAAAGTGAAGCTGATTAGATACTGCACTCCCTTTTAGTTTAGGAAAAACAGCTTGAAATTGCATTTTCTGCATCTCTTGTTCTTCAAAAATACTAAACCTGTACAGCAATCATTTCTAAAAGGACACATTTGGCCAATCTTCCTCTAAATCAACACAAAAATGGTGACCACAAAGACTTTCTATTCATAATAGAGATGATATATTCTGAGCACCTGGTCATTATCCACTGATTTCAGTACAGCGTGTGGCACGTTGAGGTGCACACACTTTGAATACAACAGGCTTTAGATTTTCGACAGCAAAAACAGGTATGACAACTTCTCAAATCCCAAACCAAGCACTAACTCTCGTCTAGGGAATCAGGAACTGTTTGTAGGAAACTTCCCTGATACTAAAATGATACAAAAGACTGTGGTAACCGCACATGATGGTAAAGTTTTGTGATAAACCCATCAAAAGAATTTTAAAGTAGTAAGAAAGCAGCTGCAATACAGTTCCAAATAGTCCATTCAGACTTTTTGGCACCTAACTGTTCACTCTGGTGGCAAGTATTTGAGGAGTGCCAATTTTAAATCTAGGAAAGAATTAATATTTCTTAATTAAACACTCAAATTTGTAACATTTGAAATCCTATCACGTTGGTATAATAGGAACATACAGAAAATAAGAGAATAGCACAGTTCTTTGCATTTAATTCTTCTTGGGGAAAAACAAGGGGCTACAAAAATTTTCTGCCCTCAATACTAACCCTACCTTCCTTTACAATTTCTGTTCTTAACAGCAGTAACTTGAAAACAGCTTTTGGTAGCTTGAAACTCCTTCAGTGTATGAATAAAATATTGATACACGTGGGAAAACCTAGGCCATCTAAGAGAACGTATTCCTGTAAGAGGAGCGTATCTTAAAAAATCTACAAGAAGCAAACAGCTCTTCTCATCCCCAGGAAAAGCCAGGGTTTGAAAGTGCAGAGCTTCCTGGAAAGATTTCTGCTGAGAACAGGTGAACTTCCAACAAATCACAGAATGGTTTGGGCTGGAAGGGACCATAAAGATCACCTCGTTCCCAACCCCTCTGCCATGGGATGGGACACCTTCCACTAGACCAGGTTGTTTAAAGCCCCATCTAACCTGGCCTTCCAACACTTCCAGGGATGGAGCATCTACAGCTTATCTGGGAAACCTGTGCCAGTATTTCATCTCCCACATAATGAAGAATTTCTTCCTAATATCTAATCTAGATCTACCCTCTTTCAGGTTAAAGCCATGCCCCTATGTCCTACCACTACACACACTTGTAAGTCCCTCTTCAGCTCTCTTATAGCCCCCCTTTAGGCATGGAAGGGGCTCTAAGGTCTTTCCAGAGCCTTTTCTTCCCCAGGTTGAACAAACCCAACTCTCTCAGCCTCTTTTCATAGGAGAGGTGCTCCAGCCCTTGATCATCTTTGGGGCCTCCTCTGGACTCACTCCAGCAGGTCCGTGTCTTTCTTCCACTGGAGGCCTCAGAGCCAGGCAGTACTCCAGGTGGGGTCCCAGAGGGCAGAGCAGATGAGGAGAATCCCCTCCCTTTTTGATGCAGCCCAGGACATGGTTGGCTTTCCAGGTCGTCAGAGCACATTGCCAGGTATTGCTGGGCTGTTCATCAGCAAACACCCCAAGTCCTTCTCCTCAGTGCTGCTCTCAATCCCTTCATCCCCAGCTTGTACTGATTCTGGGGACTGGCCTGACTCAGGTGCAGGACCTCATGCTGAACCTCATGAGGTTTGCACAGGTCCCACTTCTCAAGCCTGTCCCCACCTGCTGGGATGCCATCCCTTCCCTCTCAAGTGTTGACTGCGTGACACAGCTTGGTGTTATTGGACAATTTTCTGAGGGTGCACTCAATCCCACTGTCCATATCACTGACAGAGATGTTAAACAGAGCTGTCCCATGACCAACCCCCGGGGAGCATCACCTGTCACTGATCTCCACCTGGACACTGAGCCTCAGAAACCTCCCTGTACGCCATGACCCCTGCTCTGCTGTGGCATGTGCCTCACCAGAGCTGTGAGAGCAATGTCTGCTTTGTAACAGATTTCACAGAGCTGAAAGAAGCAGATTTAACTCATCTCAATGCTTGTAGCTTTTTTCACAACATATTTTTAAGGAACCAACAGGGCCAATGAAGAGAACTGGAAAACACTGGACTTGACTTGGCAGTATAAATTGCAATTTTATGGGGCACAGTATTCCTTTGTGCTAGTTGCATTTTACTTGGTTTGTCTCTCCACTGTTTGCAACACTCATCTACGGGAAATTAGTATCTTGAATAAACAGATTCACGTTGAAAAAAAAAAGGCCAGCTGAGGCAACAGTCCATCCAATACATTGTATTCACTTCTGAAATCACTTTCCTCTGTAACTACCTTCGAGTTAATATACAGGCAACAAAGAGCTGAGATGAAAAGAGGAGCAATTTTTTGAAGAAACATGAATGGAATCCTTTGTGTTGAAAAGGAGGAAGGAATTTAGTGCAACAAAATTAAGAGGATGAAATAAAGAAAATCTCTTAAGACATTCCATGAATTTTTAACTTACGCAAAAACTGGTCTGACAGCATTATTCATGTTTCCATAGGTTGCTCGTCCTAGTAGCTCTCTGAAACAATTCTCAGCCAGCAGAGCAGGATTTTCCTCTTTCTCTCCTCCTGTGGGAGAGGATGGAGGGCCTATTCTGCTGAAATAAGACAAAATATATTGATTATATTACTGATTAATATTCATCTTCCTTGCTGTACCCACCCTTGATACTAAACCATTCATGAGTCACACTTTTGATCTAGGCAGGAACTGTATTTCAAATATGCATCAAACCAGAACTCTGAATAAAATATTTTATTCTCTTATAGCTGGACTATAAACCCACTCAGTACTAACCACAGTATTAGTAAATATTTATATGGCAAAACCAAAGGCTGCTAATACTGAGTTAAATTTTTACCCTCCCCATTTTGATAAACCACTACCTGTTGCCAATGATGAACCAAAGGCTGTGAAATCATGAAAAATGTTAGGCAGAATCTTAGTCATTTTGCTCAGACTAATGATCTCATTCACCTGCCCACTACTGAATACATACTGTGTGGGTGAGTGTTACATGAAACTCCAGTACTTCTGCACACACAGATGGCTTGTGAGTTGAAAAAAAAAAGTCTGACTGAACTAATTAGAACATCATCACCCACATAGTTACCTCTAGATTGATAGTGCAGAAGTTGGTCACCTTCTAACTGGTGTCTCCCATCATGACAATGGACAGGGCACAGCTGAGCCCCTCAGCCAAGCTGGGGGTGCTGGGGTGAAAACAGTTTCAGAAAGAAAGCAAACAGTTCCCCCTCAGGTACCTCCATTACTTATCAAGAAGCACTGAACCTACAGGTGCTTTAAACACATTGTAGAAACTTAAGCGAGGATTTATTCACCTACATTAACATTATGCATCTCTGCATTAGGAGATTTATTTTAAATTGCAGAAATCAGTACACTAAATCTTCAAACATTATTTCAGCTCTGCAGCGCAAGCTTGAGAGATAAGTCTGTTTAAAGGTGTTCACCAAGGGCACCAGCTTTAGTTAAGGTTCGCTCTTCAGCATCATAAAACCTCAACTTCAGAGCATTATAAAAAGTTGCAAACTGAAATACCACTACTCAAATGAACATGTTGACATAATAGTTGTAATATATCTTCTGATAGCAGAAGATTTTCTACTGTTTCAATACTACTGAAAACTAAAAGCAGCAATATAAAAATCCTGTTGCCTCTGGTAACATTGGTGTTTCAGAAGTTACCATAACATTGCCAGCTTGTCAGATTTTAATAACAGAAGAGCCTCAGGCATCCTGTTATATAAGTAAGGAGAAACAGCTTTACAAATGCACCATGATTAGAATTTTAAAATGCATGACAATTTGTATATAATCCACCACGAGTACCACTACACTACAGCTTTATTCAACTGCTGTGCTGCTTAATCTCCTTTTTTTCCCCTCTGTATTGCCTAGACTCAGATCTAGGCAGATGGGCATCCTTCTCAGCACAGAGAAGGTACAAATGACAGTTTAGGTACTGTCATTCCCACTGCTGTTTTGACTGATTTCCTAAAACACAACAGCACTGCAAAGGTAGGTGGGTGGGGAGGAAAAAGCAAGCAGGCTGCAGAAGACACAGAGCGAGGCTGTCAGAAAGAATGCCAGTTAAAATGCAGTAAAGGTAAGTTATGTTTTAAGTGCTTATATATGCAAATCTACAGAAGGTGACTTCTCAGTCCTGCCTGGAGTCTTATTTTTAAACAGGTTAAAGGATGAAATTACAATCCAGTGTTCCTAGTAAAAAATGTTACTATTTGACTGCATAGAAACATTCAAAACTACCTTGTGTTGTCTGTAGGAATCACATTGTATTTTGAACAGCACCTACGTAAAAGTGTTGCTCACTAAGTGTTCCTTGGCATTATTAGATGAAAGACAATTAACAGTAAACTCCTCTTCTTTAGTTTTAGAGAAAAGTTTCATACAGCCTCTCGAGTTTCTATTCCAAATGAGCAATTCATATTCATTTTGTTTCACTGACTTGGCTTTTACAGAAATCTCAGAAAACATCTGACAAATTCAACTCCAACACTTGAAAAAAATACTAGTATTCCTCTGCATCTAGACTTTTTGTATTACCACAGGTCCAGAGGGCTGAAAATGCACTGAAATGGGCAAGAGCTACTCCCTTCAGCTGCTTTATTGGTTTTATTGTGGGTAATCTCTACCAGAAGAAGTGGCAACAAGGAAATGAAAGGAGGATGTGCTGAAGTTCAGCAGTTTGAACAGCAAACACCTTATCATGGGTTTGAACTGGCTTAGAGCAACTCAGCAGCTCATGCTGTAATACCACAAAACCAGGACTGGCCAAAAAACCAGACAGGACATGTGAAGGAAGACTTAACCACTCCTTATGAGCAGAGTAGCTGCAGGATTGTTTGACTATAATTTATTAACCCTGAGAAAGAAATACATTCTAACCTACCTCTAAGCCAGAATTTGTATGAACATTATAGATATATTAGAAGGATTTGAAGTCAAGTTTAGAACAAGTGCTGGAGTGTCTGCCTGAAATAAGTTTAGCCAGTGCATTACCAATTTCATACATTCCTTTCCCATTTTAGAGATGCACATAAATAGACATACATAACTAGACACATAACTAGACTGTGCATTCAGACATATGAACAAATGATGGCATCCAAGAATATAATTACCTCTTTAAAATGTTGTTTAAATAGTAAATTCTTAACTCCAAAAAGTGTCTCTGATGACATGTACTCAGAAGAGTCTTGAATTAAGCTATTACAGTTCCTCAAGTTAAAATTACCCTGACCTTTAAAGTGAGCTTTACCTTACATGTACTTCAGCTTTAACAAAAATTGTTCTTTTCTATGGACTTAAGTTGGGGGTATTTTCTGGAATTTCTGCTCTTTCTCAAATAATGCTTTGATTCCATCTGCCAGAACAATATGCCTCCTACTCTTCAAGATGTCTCTGATTGTGCTCCACAAATATGAGGTCACACATAAAATGAGAAATTCCGTGTAACATCACTTAGGGCCAGCAGATCAACAATTTACAAATACTGTTTTCAGCTCTTCTGTCATATGCACATCATACAAGGCCCCTACTCACCACTTAGAAAATCATTAGTCTTTTTTTTAAATGTTGTATGTGCATTATACAACAAGATTCAAAAAGACAGTTCAGATATTTAGGTAACAGCTTCTTTTTGATAGATTTGTTTTTCTACTACCACTACTGCATTGCTCAACAGATAATAAAAATCAGTCCTGCAGGACACAAACTGATCTGCTTTAAGTGGTTAATCCAAATCCTACTTCAGTCAGCTTTCCTATCGGTAGTTAATTTATTTTGCTATATAAAGGGAAGTGTACACCTGAGGGCACTGTAAAAAGTAACAAAGGAAAGGGCCCGTTTGCAGCCAGGAGCCCTCTAGGAGAAAGAAAAGGCAAACCAGGCTCTCCTTGTTCAAACTGCAGCTTCAGAAACCTCAGTCTCTCACTCAGATCCCTCTTCAGATGTAAAATTCAAATAGCCATCTCTGTAGATATTGTGTGGGCCCTCAATTATATGCATAGATAAAACATGGACAGGCAGACAACTATTGATTTTAATCATTTAGCTTCAAAATTACTTTAGAGAAGAGACAGATACTGGGAATTAGAAATAAGAGAAGAAAAATAAAGCTGAAGAATGGAAAAATAAACACCACGAAAACTCAAACCAAAAAAATGAAGCCTGACAGAAAGCTGAGTGAAAGCATGAAAAGTCTGTTGTTATAGAAAGGCTGCTGAGCTTCTTGCCAATCAAGTTTTGAAGCAGCTAGGGTTGGACACAGAATAAATATTTAAAGCTTGCCTGCACAGATGAAGTTGGTTTTATGGAAATTCCCCAGTGCTACCAATAAATAGTTTTTAAAACTACAGAGTATTTAACCACAAATACAGACATGGACCAAAAAAAGTGACTTTTCAATTGTAAGGAGACTGGCATGTCCTCAATTTTAATAATCACAGACACCTTTTTGAGGATCTTTTTGCCTAACCGGCAGGTACTATGCCTAGGAATCACTGAAAGCAAAAAAAAAAAGAAGTGTGTCTACATATAAATAAACTTCAAATCCTTAAGTACTGCTGCAGCCAGAACAGACAGTTGTTGCTAATGGCTAATGGGAATTAAACCCTCAATTTTTAACAAATGTAAGTAGCAAAATCATTTGAGTCACCTAAAAGCCTGTACATAGTCATCTCTGCATCTGATGTTATAAAACACAGTTTTACAATTTTTATCAAGTCAAAAAATGGATATACAATTTCTGAAGCAACTTCTGGGCCAACAGAAGCTAGAACAAGTGAAAAAAAAGTGGCTGAAAAGACTTTGAGACAAGAAACATTGAGTCATTGTGCAGAACTGTGCTACCAGCTTCAATGAGCCTCACCTAGTAAAGGTTACTTGTTTCCACTAAAAATAAAAGACATTGCTCACAAAAACTAAGCCTAGATACTGCTTAAACAAACATGTCAGTGACAATGAATAAAATTACCTGTCAATATCTTCTATTTTCTGCATGTTGAACAGCAATGATGGTACGATCTTGTCCATGTGCTGAGGTTCCCATATAGTTGCTCGAAGTTCATCATTAACTGTTTTTCGAACCACTCCCTGAATGCCCCTGATTCCAGCAATTCTGATCCTAAGGAATGAAAAAAAAAGGAATTACAGAGAAGGTGAAACACAGCACCTCCCAGTATGGCTCTTTATCTACTGGGCAGCAGTAATTAGGTAGTGTGGAATTCCAGAAGGTTCTCACGAGCAGCAATCAGGAAAATGGGTCGATTCACTAAGGATGTCAGTGTTTTCTCCAAACACTTTTAAAGCCCATAAGGAACCTGACAAAACAAACAACTGAACAGAAGATGACCTGTCAGGATGAAGCTGACACTGATCAATGAACACTCAAACTGTGTATATCACCTCAGACAAAAGTCATGTGGGAAAAAAACAGGAACTCTCCCCAGTTTACTCCCCATCAGTCGAAATTTTGCACAATTTCAACCTATTCTGGTGCTGAAGAAAAACGCTGTGAAGTGACCACAGCACCGCTGCAGTAACACCGGGCACAGCCACAGGATCAAGCCCTTAACATTTGAAATTAAGGCTATGAATTAATCAGAAAAGATCTCTCAGATTTCTTAAGGGTTCAGAAGATGGAGAGTAAAGGATGATTCTGTCAGCTTAAGCCTGCTGCATAAAAGGAACCACCACCTTTATCCTAAAACTGGATGAAACCAACTGAGAACTAATCAACAACAATGAAATAAAAAAATAATTATCATTTCAATAAAGGACTTGGTCTAATTTCCAGCTGTTTTCATTATTTTGTTAAACAAAAATAGCTCGCAGGAAAATCTGTGCAATGAAATGAGTGGCGAAATACTCTTTTTTGAAGTGATAATAACACATTAGCCATTATAATAAATGGCAGGAATAAAATTTTACTTCTTGAGGGTAGTACAGCTGCCAGGTGAAATAAGCACAAGCTTCACTAAAATTTGAAATGATTTCTATGAAAATAATTTTTTAAATACTGATTTCAGTATGGACAGCACATAACAAGCCCTTGCTCAGTCAGATTTGCTGAATTAAAACATTTGTAAGATGAAGTACAGAGGTAACTAAACTGTATAATTAATATTTTTGTTTAGATTTCAATTTGTAAATACTTAAATCTGTAGCCTCCTATATTTTAGCTATTTCTGACCAAAACCATGGTCGTTGAATATGGATCTGATACCATTCTACACCTTTTGAGATAGTTTTAATAGGATTACATGCAAAGCAGGTAAGAAAAGGGATGTACTAACAGATAGAAAAGCACTTGATATTGCTGGACTGCAACTACGGTCCAGCATCTAATGTTAAGTTTTCAATATTAACGACCTAAGATTGACATTTAGGACTCAGAGCCTTCAGGAAATCTATCACTGAAACTTTTTTTTTAAATTATTAGGTCTTAAAGCAATCAAGATTTGCTGACACTGTGGCTTTAGATCCATCAAATACCAGCACTGACCCCCCCTGACAAAAGGGAAATCTGGCTTACTGGAGAGATTCCAGAAGCCCACGTTACCTGACAACAACCACTTGTGTGGGTGAGGTTCGAGCTCACCCTCAAGCCACTCAGTTCAGTGGGACCTCAAGTTATGCAGGTGAACAGCAACTCCAGATGTCTGGTTTAGGATCAGCTGAATTAGCCCTGTCCCCCATCAGTGATATCGACTGTTTGTGACACCTGCATTTAGAACTGCTCTCTGCTGATTGTTGAATTACCTCAGTACCAAAAACCTGCCGTGCCAACTCCAAGAATGATTTGCTGCTCACAAAGGTCTCTTTTGAAAGAGGTGCATTTAAACTGTCTAGGATAATGTGGAAAAAGCCATATTGCTATACATTTGGTCACCCTCAGTAAAAAAAATATACACACGTGGAAAAAAGGCCACACTTTTGTGTACAGGAATGCCACTAGCACTAATTTCATGTTTTTACTATTGCACAAAAGGATGAAAAGTGTGTGTTGAAGTAGTGAGGAAAGTGCAGCATCAAATTTCATTGCACTGGAAAGGTTTCATTCCTCTAAACAAGACTATGACAGGGAGTAAAGCAGAGATTACATTCAATTTAGGACACATACAATATTACGTAACTAGGATGAAATTCCTCCCTGTCTAAGGGCTCATCAACATGGCAAACTGAAGCACAGATAACAGTGCAGGCTGCCAATCTGGAGAGCAGAAGGTTAGCACAGTTCTCTTACTCTTAGAGCAATCACAGTTTTGAGGCATTTTACTTTGAGGCATCCTTGTGGTAGGTAGGTCATACTTTGTACCTGAATCAGGGACGTCCAAGTCACTTAACTTATTCCATATTCCAGTTCATTACTAATATTAGCTCTCATTTGCAAGGGGCAATGGAGGTTGAAAGCAATGCTGAAAATCCTGAGCTGAGCTTCATATCTGAACCTCTTAGGAAACGTTTTACAGTCAGTAAGAAGTTGAACATTTCTGGTTTAGTTTCACGAAACCTAAAAATGCAAAACTGAACCCTTTGAATAAAGCTCACTGAAACCTTTATGAATACTATTTGCAACCATCAGCTTTAACTAAATACAGTGTACCTGACTGAAGCCTAAGTTATGAGGTAGTTGCATGATACACCAACTTCACACCAACCTCTTTAAGAAGTTTCTATTCCCTTTGCCCTTTGGTCCCTGAGTACTAGTCCTTAAAAAAACTGATGATGTAAACCCATTCAATGGGATAATCTTCCTAAAGTGAAAGCTGCTGAGGGCAGGGGTAATGGTACAGCCAAAGCAGTCAGATTTAATCCTGACCCTTTTGGAGTTTACAGCAGAACCCTAAGCAAAGCAGTAGGGCAACAAATAAAATGCCAGCAAATTACTAAAAATAAGGAGGAATTATTTATTGGGTTTATGTTTGGGGTTCCTTCCTCCTAATCCATGTACATAGTATTCATTCATTTTGAAAATACAGTTCACAGATTTCTGAAGCTGCAAATTTTCAGAAAAATCCTGGAGCTAATGTAACAACAGCACACCCGAAGGGTTGAATAAATGCTCAGCACGTGGACTTGTCATAGCTGGATAAGCAATTTATTGCATGGAAATAGAAAAAACGAGTACAAGGGAGATGTAAATGATATAAACTGCAAAGCCTTATGTTTTCCAAAATGCTCAGGAGTTAAACACTGATTGCCAATTCCTGCGAAGGACACATCCACCAGGGGGAGCCGCAGGGAAACAAACTGCGGCGCTTACATAAGCACGGAAAAACGTGGAATTCTCATCCATGGAGGCACTTCAGTTTCACACACGTGAGCATACTTCTGGCACCCAAGACAACTCAGTTTTCATGAGTAATGCTCAAAGAGCAATCTCAAAATATGCTTTTGCTTCTCATAGAAGTAGCCCAATTAATTTCTGAAGTAAGTTATGAACTTGCACATTTACAGCAGTAAGCGGTGCCTTTCTGGGGAGAACCCACAGTCTGAGAGGCACTAGTCAGGCAAAATTATACTTAAATATTCTAAGAGTTCCAGCTACCTAAGATTTGCAATATTTGGTGCTATTTAAAGAGTCAGACTTTCATTTTCTTCCTGTGAACTACTCCACTAAACACCCTAACAAAAGCTGTATTACAGACAATATTGATGCGTCACACGGAATGGCACTTACTCGGTTTGTATTTCTGGATCGGGGTAACATGAGTGGCACATGGCACTGAACCGAGACACAAAGAAGTCGTAGCGTCTGTGATAGGAAGGTGTGTCTTCCTCAATGTTGGCAAATTTGACAAACTGGAAAAAGAAATACATTTTAAAAAAGCTTTTAGTGCCAATTTCTCCAAACAGAATAGTGAGTACTAAGCTTCACTGAAGAAGTAACATAAATCAACTGCATTAATGTTCGAATCTAGATTTGACAACACTTTAAAACTTCAGAGAAGAAAAGTTTTAATTAGAGAGTTGTTTTTTTTAAAGTCTTTCCACTAGAACTTCACTATTAGATAGTGATGAAAGAGTGCAGCTACAAGAAATACAACACACTATGCAATATAGAAACATCTAACACTTCAACAGTGAGTATCATCAATTGGTAGAATCATTTAGGGTATAAAAGACCCTTAGGATCATGAGGGTCAACCATTTACCTAACACTGCCAAGTCCACCAATAAACCACGTGTAAATAACTCCATGGTGACTCAACTACTTCCTGAAAAGCCTGTTTCAATGCTTGATAACTATTTCAGTGAAGAAATTTTCCCTAATATCCAACCTAAACCTCTCCTGGCACAACTTGAAGCCGTTTCCTCTTTTCCCATCTCTTGAAATTTGGGAGAAGAGACTGACCCCCACCTGGCTACACCCTTCTCTTGGGTGGTTGTAGAGAGCAGCCCAAGCAATCAAATGGTCCACTGACCCTACCAGGTTACCTACCAACATTCTAACTCACCAAACTCCAAGAGAAATAAACTTGGAGCCATTGTGTCAATTCTATCTTGGCAAAAGTGAAAAAGGAGTCATGGAATTACAAGCCAGTCACATTAATTCCATTCACAGAGAGATACTTAAAGAAGCCAATTTGTAAACATCTACAGAGTATCGAAGGGGTAAGTAACAGTCAACACTGATTTGTCAAGAACAAATCACATCGATCCATCTTATTCCTATGACAAGGAAATAAATTTTGTGAATCCAGATGAAGCAGCATCTGTCAAACCTTAAATTCAGTGATGCTGTAGACAAAAAAAACACATACAATTCTCAAAGGGAAGCTGTCAAAAGAACAATCCCCATAAAGTAGATGGAAAAGAATTTGGAAAAAAAACCCCTGGAAATTCTTGTAAATCATAAAAGTACAAAAATGTATTGAGTGAACTTCTGGAGAGGCCTATTTGGAAAATACATAAGAATTTGAGTTTTCTAGAGACTGAGATGGCAGAGTGGGCTCATCAAATTTGCAAATAACACTGAGCTGGCCAGAGATGAAGGCACACTTGATGCCTGGTTCCTGACAATCTGGAAACAGGACCTGAAAAATGGAAGGAGATTGCAAAACACCACTTTTAAAACAGCTGTACAGATACAAGTCCAGAAACAGCTGAATGCAGAAAAGGAACACGGTCAATGCTCTTTCAATGGCATGAAAAACAAACAATATATTGTGATACATCTGTATTGCCCATGAGACCTATGAAGAAACTTTTGCCATCCAATTTGGCCTAGTAAGCCCTTAGATGAAGTGCTGCATCCAGCTGAAACATCAGAGCTGAAGATGGTGATTAATTGATACAGTCCTTCAATTATTCAAGGGGAGAACAAAGCTTTAGATAAACATCTGTTTAAAAAGACTGAAAGACATTAAATTATCTAGTCTAGAGTTGCCTAAAAGATATCAGTCTGACAACGTATAGAGGAAAATTATAAAAAAGAAAAGAAATAAATGGTTTCCTTTGTCCAGTGGTAATAGGAAAAGCAATAATGGGCTTACACTGAAGCCTATCTAAGTTAGACATTAAAAACCCCTCCTTTCTAAAGTGAGCAGACTGCCTAAAGAGCTTTTGGATTCTCCACTGACAGTTCTAAGAACAGATTACAGAGGGAAGGGAAAAGGAAAATGAAATGTCGTCAGGAAAGGCTGAACACGGTGCAGGTTCTGCCCTGAAGCAGAGTGACGTCCCAGTAAGAACCCTCTGCTTTTACCCACTCCAGTATCATTCTTACCAATTCCTAAGCACAGGCTAAGGCATTTCTTTTATACTTTCCAGGATGCAGAACCTGCTTTTATCAGCACGTTACCCATCTACATTTAGATATGCCCAAAGCACTGCAACGTAACCTCCAGCACACTGATTTGTGGAAGTTTTGAGGTTTTCAAGTGAAAGTGAAAGAAAAAAAAAACAACCATTTTTTCTACTCTTTTGTTTAGTTTTTTTCTGTTTTATCTAGAACACTTATCCCTTTCAGCTGCACTACCACTTTACCCACTAAAATCTGCAGGTGCAGCTGTAAATGATACAGTTTGTAAAAGTACATTCTCAGCTATTACTGAAAATGGAGCAAAATTGTATAATATGAGTCCATTTTACAAGTAATTGTTAGGAATATCCCGGATTTCAGGTGGTAAGAAAGTGACAAAAGTCAAAAAGTCAAAATCCAATTCTGTATGGCCTCCTGCCACACACTGAAAAACAATCCACACACTGCACCCACATGTTTTGTTCAATACAGTGAGTAATAAAAATGAGTGTTTCCTTCCCAAGTGACCCTGGAAAATGCTTTATATGTCTTATGTCTCCTTGTTTTGTTTCATGGAATTGTTGACATCAAAACAGAGAGATTTTTCAAATTTTTTTTTGAAGACAAGAATTTCACTAGTTCTTACAACTCAATAAGGCATGAAGACAAGGATTATCAAAAACCCCAGAAAATATGATCTTAGTATTTTCCAGACATTCAAGTGTTCAAGTCTGCAATTGATTCACCCACCAAACTTCTATAAAAGCATGTAAAAGAATGGAAACAAAAAGTTTTAAGAACTCAGAGCACTATGGGAGTGGCTGTGAGAATAAGAATATTAACTCATGCAGAAGTTAATATCAGCATTTATTATAATATTAATATTACCTAAACACAAAATTATTTGACTGACAGACTCTCCTAACATGAAAACTTAAACTCTAAGAACTGTTTTGCTAGCAGAAAGATTTACTGTACCACAAGATTGCTTTTTAAAAATAAAAGATGAATTTAGCCCAAGAAAGTGTCAGGAACTCCCTTCCTACACCGTGGTGCAGCTTTGGAGCAGGGAAACAGGGATTCTGAAGTTACATCTCTTTAAATGGCATGCACAGGAAAACGTCCAGAAGGGACTAAGTTTTTTTATGTCCTTACATCCATAACAAAAATAATTTCACCCACTGAACATACAGCATTTCTGAAGCACGTTCCAAGATTACCATTCAGATGACTGAACATTTAGGACACAGGAAAGCTGATTGTAATAACAGTTTTAAATTGTGCGCTATCATCCAGTAAAGCAAAAAATTCCATTTCATCATAGAAATTTTAAGTTTTTACAGTACACAGACCTTCTCTTTGCTCTGCACTGCTGCTGTTAAGCTGTTATTGTTGTTAAAGAATACTTTACTCCTGAGCACGTATTTTCAAACGTACTTCAAATATAAAAAATATTCAACCTCCAAAAAGATAAAATTCTAATGAAAGTCCAAGCACTTGCCTCGGATTTACTTACAAAGCTTTTACAGATGTGAATACGTCACTCAGTCATAGTAAACGCTTGCAAGCACCCAATGGCAACTTACGGAAGTTTTACCAGTAGAAGCATCTTCTGTATTTCATAATACAGAAGGTACAGAAAGGAATTTACACAGGTAGTATCTTATTTACATTAATTTTGAAACCACACACGACAGACTTACTACTAAGTGTGAATCTATGTTATGCACTTCACCAAATAAATGCCAGAGGACAAGCACTTCAACTTTCTAAATAGAAAAGTTTTAAACACTGGGTTCATACATTAACTTCACAAACACAGTGTTAAAACTATCACAGTAAATAATCACAAGATAAGGTTCTCAGCAGTAGAAATCAGTGAATGCATTATCAGAATGGGATGGATAATTTCACATTCCACTTTACTTTGTGTTCCTTGAATGAAAATGATCCTGAGCACCACATGTAGAGATGTGTAACGAAGTCAGCACTGCCATGTGGGCTCCCAGGGTGGAACAGCAAACCCAGAGAGCGCAAGCACAAGGGGGAGGAAGCAACACTTTAATGAGGGACCCTAAAGGACTCTCTAAAACTGCAGTGGATGCAGAAACAGAATTTTTTAAGATCATTTAATAACCCACAGGATGAGAAAGAGTGCTTTCTGTAATTCTGTCTCCCTGTGCTTTAACTCCTATTAAAAAGACAGAGCAGAGATCTGAGAGAAGGAATAGTTCCATTGTGTATTAAATCACTACAAGCACATAATTCTGCACTGTCATATGGAATGAAAGCACCATCTTGCACTAAAGATAAGCTTCCATCACATACTTCCGGATTAGCACACTGCAGACAAGGCAAACAAGTGAGGACTCTACTGGGAATATTAATTTTGACATTCCTTAATCTCACAGTTTCGACATTTTATACTATTTTTACATACACATGCACTTCAATTCTGCCCAAACCAACTACTTTTATAACCCAACATTAACAAATATAAAAGTCTTGTGGTTGTCTCAGGCACTGATTGGTCACTTTTCCACTTGGGATACTGCTTGGCTTCCTTTAAATAACAAATGAAAACAACCAGCAATTACAGTCACCTCCTCGTGCTCAGGAAGCCCAGAACTATCACTTATGAGATCATTATTTCACTGCTCCTAAAAAGAAACAGCCCTTATAAAATGAAGCAGCCTATCAACTAAAGAAAGCATATATGGTAAATAATCTAAAATGTGGCGACACTGGGTTCTCTATATATATCTGCTATTTTACAGACAAAACCCCAGTATTCTACAGTCAAAAAAACAAAAAAGTATTCACCTCATCAGCATTCCAAATTAGCTTAAAGTGTTTCATATTCAACTGAGTTTTGTCAATATGTTAAGATGAAATTTTCATGAAATTATTTATTCCATTGTTTTTGATCAGCTGCTCGCTAAAGAAATTTTCTGCCTCTTCTTTAAAAAAAATTACCATAAAATTAAAAATAGATATAAATTGGATATCGATAATTGTCCCCAACAATTCTGACCACAAGTTAAAAGACTTTAAAGCTTTTCAACTTCTATCCTAGTAATATAACACTATGGACCTACGGAATACATTTAATGATATGTACACGAGAGATGGAAATGTTTTACATAATGCTCAGTTAATGAAATTCCGCAGGAAAATAAAGACAGAAATTTAGTATTGCCATAAATTTCTAAGGAAAAGCTTGTTGCAATCAGTCTTCAGATCCTGTAACACTTAAGCCAAAGAAATATCGCTTCTTCCCACCACGTTTTTTTCAGTTTCTTCACCAGCATATGCTATCCTAGCACATGGTTAATAAAAATATCTTCCGTGACAGAAAAAGCCATTCTGAACCCCACAGGCACTGTCAATTCGAAATCTGGTCCCCAAAGAAAATCCCCCAACAACTATTCAACATACCCACTATTGAATTTCACCTGTTTTCAAGTATCTGCCTATATAAACAGATTTAAAATTATGTTACCAAAAAAAAAAAAAAAAATCATTGTTGCTGCAGGGAATAAGCTAGTATAACTTATATATGCAACACATAAAAAGTCAAAGCAATTAACTACATGTAACCTGAAGATCAGGCTTAAAAGTATACAAATAAAACCCAAACAATTATATATATAAAACAGTAACATTCAGGTTTACTTTTTATAAGTAAATCACTTTAAAGAAATGAAATTTAAATTCCAAAAATGATTTAGCAAGACAAACAACTGAGTGAAAGTTTGAATTTTCTTCTAAGACATAAAGCACCAGGTAGAATAAGTTCTGCATCCAAAACTGGATATTTTGAAGTCAGCAAAACACTTTTAGAAGACAGTTGGAGCTTGCAGATCCTTCCAAGCCTTTAAACTACTCAGAGGCACCCAGTACACAGATTTGTTTAATTTGGAACCCTGACTTCAGAGCAATCACAACAGTCCCGACAGCAGAAGCAAAATCTGCTTGTGAGGCTGAAAAACCCTACAGCTCAAGTCAGGAGATCTGAATCTTACTTCAAAGACATCACTACCTTTGTATCCCAGTCAACTCTGGGATGGAAAATAATCAAAATCTACTTATAGCCACAATCACACTGTGTATCTTTTTAAGTGCCAGCAGACTATAAATTTGTAGGGTCCTTAAACTGAGTTTAACCTACAAATACTACGGAAAGTTTTCCAAAAGCTGCCTGTCTTTTCACCAGTTTAAAGACATTTACTTCCCATACAGTTCCGTCTTCTCTTCTAGAAAATACCAGTTTCCACTCCAAAGTAGTAAATCAGAATATCTAAGGCACATGAAACATTTATTCAGTCACTCTACCATCTATTATTGTTATTTTTTTTTAATTTGTTTATTTATTCCCCTCTGCAGAAGAGGAAAAAGGCTAAATTTGATGGCAAATCTTCTCCATCCCTAATAAAATTTATTTAAGAATCCAGTAGGTCAGTGGCCTTGGTAACAGACAAGCTGTCAGTGCCAATACACTTTGCTCCTCTTGAGTCAACACAAAAAGACTCTATCTTTTGTCTTCATTAACTGCAGAAGGCACCTAGGGAAATTAGCAGAGTTAGGCTAAAATTAGCTTTTGGAATACTGCTGGAGAGTCATAAAGATTCACTCTCCTCACAGAAATTCACATTTTATTTAGGAAAACGTAATTATTTTCTGTTTCTGAGTTTTAAAAAAGACAAATACAAATTATCTCCTAATTCAGGAATTCCATTAATCTCCTTTTCTCATAAAAGACTCCCTTAGGAAGTGACAGGAATATCAAACAGATTACCCTAGGGTGGAGTTCTGTACAAAAACATGCCTTTCAAAGTGACACGTGTCTTGTGGAGGTTGGCAGTAACTGTTTGCCACCAGGGACTTCAAACAAATGGAAAGTGATGCACATCTTGCCATTTGGCAGCCCAGGAAATAAGTTCCAAAGCTATCTCCCCAAGAGGCCTCACCCAGGCATTATCATATAAACAAATCAAAACAAGCAGGATAGCCTGGCTTGAAGATAAATAAATAACATTTTGCACGTGTATCTCATTACCCTCGGTAAAGCTGCCCTGTCAGTTTGGAGCACAAGGAGACACTTCTAGCTTACATCATGGCAAAACTCTCTGCATTCTGTGATATTAAGAAATTCTACTCCAGAGCAGCATCACTTTACTACACCCTCCTATCTCCCTGAACTGCAACTCCCAACTGGGGATCAATCCCAAAGGAAAGCCCAACAGTTTTACTGAATCCACAAAGAACCCCATGCAAGCACTACTCTATACTCATGTAAAAACAACCCCTTCTAAGTGAAAACAGTCCATATCACATTTTATATGGATTTTATAAGATTCCTATTTTACCAGCTGGGAAATACAATGGCTACAAGGGAATTATGACAGAACTATAACACTGATTGCACCCATCACTCTATTTGGAAACCTGGATCTCCAAATCTTTATTTTGACACTTTTAGTTATGCCCTTCAAGCAGGGATCTGAATCCTCAAATATTTAAGGCAGTAATATAGTGAGGTGTTGATACTGAAAGCTACTTTTCAGCTAACAGGAATCTTTCTGTGTAGTGTCAGTGCTGGGGAGAAGGATGTTACGTTCTCCTCACACCATCACTCTTGTTGCTGGAGAGCCAAACACTAAGCACTGGCTCCAGGAGGGCTGCATAAAGACTCGAAATACAAACTCACAGAACAGCATTCCTGTTCCTTCCAGAAGTCATTTCTGCAGGGACAGATCCCAGACATCAAAAGCATTTAGGACACTGAAAGGAGACAGTTTATCTGCCTCCAGCCAGTATCTGCTCTGCATTTAGGCCCAAGTGATACACCCTGCCACAGACAGAATCTTCTAAATTCATGTGAACTGGCAGACACTTGTGACTTCTGAAACTACTTTCCCACGCAAAGGTTTACTCTGATTTGATGCAGTGTCTGAGCTTACTCACAGAATTAGTTCCAAGGACTTGCAGCTTTGGTTCACCTGATTCCAGAAGCTTGGCCACCATGTGAAGGAAACTTTCCACAAATGGTTTTATGCTTTGAGAATGACAAGCCATCAGAAGTTGGTCCAGTGCCTCCATGGCAATTAAAACATAACTGAAAATTAATCAGAGAGACTCACATAAAGACGTATTGCATTTATCATTAACTCCACTAGTTCTTTAATTAGGTCCTTATTACCACAAAAATCAGAAAAGAATGGAAGGCATGTATTTCCCACCGTATAAAAATGAAACTTAGTGCTATTTCTGACATCCATATCTTTTGTTTTTGGGGAGGGGAAGTGAGGAATTGAGTGTTGGTCATTTACCCTCTCTATAAAGTTATAAAAATAGCTTCGGACATCATGAAGGTCAAAAAATGATGGTCTGCGATGGATGTTGCCTTTCTTCTCCAACTCCTGACACTTCTTACATATGATTCAGCCAAAAGGGTTGAAAAGAAAGATATTCCTGCTTCCCTATATCCTGACTTACATTCGGGGGTGTACTGGGCTTACATGGCAAGGTTTTGGCAGCAAGGGGCTGCAGGGGTGGTTTCTGTGAGAAGACACCAGGAACTGCCCCCCATGTTGGACAGAGCTCCAGACAAGCTCCAAGATGGACCCACCAGCTCCCAAAACTGAGCCCCTCAGTGACACTGGTAGTGCCCAGAGTAAGCAGATATCCATGCTGCAGACCATGGAGGACCCCATGCTGGAGCAGGTGGATGTGTCCCGAAAGAAGATGCTGCCCATGGAAAGGCCGTGCTGGAAGAGGCTCCTGGCAGAGCCCACGGAGAGGAGCCCACGCAGGAGCAGCTTTTCTGGCAAGACCTGACCCATGAGCTTTGCATTTTATTTTCTCTCCCATCTGGCAGAGCAGGAGGAGTGAGAGAGCTGGGTGGACACCTGCCAGCCCGACAAGGTTTACTGACCACAGAGGCACTGGGTCTGTCTTGCCTCCCCAGCTTGATCAGAACAAACACGATGAAATCTCACAACATGTAAGCATCTCTTTTCAAAGCTGTGACCTCTCTCCTCACCCATAACGGTGTCTGACGACATCCCTGCTCAGTCTCTCTGCCAGGTAAGCCCCAATTCGATCCAGCTTTTCTGGTGCAGAAACCGCATAGAAAGTCAACTTCTCCATGTCGGCTTTAACAAGACCATCCTAAAAGCAGAAATATGAAATATAAAATAAAAAAGGTCACAGAAAGTACGAAGCTTTTGAAGTGTTTTTCCTTTTGTCTACTCAACATTTACAGATTCAAGCCTTACTGATAGGAATAAGCTACTGAAAAAAAACATTCTTTTGAGCAAAACTGCCATTAGCTGAGCTGCAAAAATCAACAACTTAAAAAAATTATGTAAAATATTTTTTAAGGAAACAAAGTAATTATCTTCCTCCTCCTCTTCGGTGAGGGAATGGTTATTCAAAAAGAAGGTATTTAGTGAGAGATGTCACCAGTTCTATGACACATTTCTTCCCTATTGGTCCAATGTAATTTTTTTCTTTTCCCATCCCCCCAAAAGTATATTTGATGCATAATTTTGACACTACATAGAAACAAAAACATAGTTTAAATATTTTAGATTGTGCTTTAAATATCTTATTTCTTCAGTGTCACATACTGAATAAGGCTGAGCTACAGGCTACCCAAAAGCTATTTGTTAGAAAAAGATCAAAGATTGACAAATTAGTTCCAACATCAACTGTAACATGGATCTGCTCAGATGAGGTTATAATCATAACTATCAGGTAAGCAAGATAAAAAAAAAAAGATAAAAAGACAAAAAAGCCTTCTTTTTTTTTTTCCCCTGGAAGTTCATAAAAGCATTCTCTTTTTTTAAATAAATTACTTTGAAGCTTTTAAAATACTTAATTATTAACGAAAGCATTTCATCAAACAAGTCTCATACTTTAGAGAAGGCCTGCAACTCAGTGAAACATCATGGACTGGCCTGTGTCCTGCAAGCAACCAATGAATATTAACCAAAGCAGAGACTAAGGAGTGCCAGCTCAGGGCTCCTGTGTGAGATTTAAGCTATAACACTAAAACTGTAGCAATTCCAGGTGTTTCTACACCTGTAGAGAAAGAGCAGATTAGAACAAATAAACCTACAAAACCACATTGTTCCACGCATGCAATATCCTGCATACACAGAAAACATTTCCTTTAAAGCCAGTAACAAGGAGTAACTAGCACTCAGTAACAACATATTTTAAAGAAAAGCCCACATCCTTTGTAACACATAAACTAAATTTTATAGAAATGCTGACTGTTCTGCTTACTTAACCTACAACAAAAAATGAAAACATTTGGTAACACATTTTAAAAAAATACAGTAGCAGAAGAATAAGCTCTTGATCAGTGAGAACTGTCACATGGTTATGTACAGAAAAAGGTATTATCGAATGGTAACACAGAAGTTATTAAAATAAATAACACAGTGTAAGAGGTAGGTTTTAATACAGCTCCAAGACAGTTGCAGTGAAATGAAAAGAAAAAACTGGACATGAATAACTGGAGAATTTAAAAGACACCATCAAAAAAACCTCGTGGGTCACAACAGTCTACCAGAACTACAAAGTCATTAAGTCAGGAATTAAAAACAAAAATCCTGCAGAAAACCAGAAAATGTTCTCACCTGCAACCATACCAAAGCAAGTGCTTGTAGTTCAAAGTACTTACGAAGTTAAGTGCTACCCCTGCAGCAGAACACCTTGTTGAATTAAATCTATTTCTCTGAGCAAAACATACTAATTTTATTCTTCAATGCACAGCCCCCCCTTTGGAAAGGGAATTAGACAAGATGATCTGTACATGTCCCTCTCCAGCTAAATTATTCCCATAATCCCTGTAAAAGCTATAAAGAGCTAAAGCAGAATTTACTGTAAAAAGGTAAAAAGAGAAAAGAAAAAAAAATGAAATTAAAAAATTGCTAAAGCATTGGCTATAACCAAAAATTTCCAAACACCAATCCTTTAAAATTTTAAAGTCATCACTCACTTTTGGATCTTCAGGAAATATGTTATCCACCAGACGCTTGTAGCGAGGTCTCAGCGCAGCACAGCAACAGCAAACTCCTGCAGAGGGAATTACACAACGAGATTTAAAAGGCAGTTTTAGGGACTCATTTGAAAGGACAAGCTGACACGCATGGAGGAGAAAGATATACTGAATTCAGCTGCCTGTCGTTATCAGCAATAAGGCAAAATAAGGCAAAAAAAGTAACTGAAAATAAGCACAAAAAAGTCAAATAAGCAGAACTACTCTCATAGAAAATATGCAAGCAACTTGGGTACTAGAAATGCACCTGCCATCCAGCCACACTTAAAATCATTCAGAAAAATGAAGACAATTTAAAATTTAGTCTTATTAACCAAAGCTACTTTAGTTGCTGTTTTATCTTCATTCTGAATGACCACTTCAAAACATCAAAATGTGCACTATGTTCATTCTTCTAAAAAAGAAATCAACTATGAAGTCTTCTATCTTACAGGCACCCATAAAAAACAATGTAAAGCATAATACACAAAACAAGCTCTGCATTCCTTATCCCTTATCCTGCCTTTAGCTGGGCATCAGTGAAAAGACAGTCACTTGAAGTGGAGAATTTTTTAAATTTCATTTCTACTCTAGTACTAATCCTGCACTCATATAATCAGAACAATGAATGTAACTTTAATTTTATTAATTTTAAAAGTCATACTGCCTGCTCTAAAAAGATAAACCTACAAAGCATTTACTGGGTTTTTTCCTAGCACTCAGGGCTAGTAGAACTTTGGAATTAAGTTAAAACTAAGTACAAAAAAAAAAAAAAAAGGTTTCTAGATATCTGCCCAACTGTTTTACCAGTATACATTTATTCCCAACTCTTTTTGGAATTTTTTGAAAATCAGGTTTTAAATATTTCAGTGGCCATATTATCAGACTAACTCACAGGTCTGGCCTCAGATCAACACTAAAGCTGCTCTGATACATAAGAGCCACTAGGTAAACAATAATACACTCAATAATAATATATCAAGTACAAGCAGATCAGTGGCTTTCTGGTCTTTCAAGTCCCAACCCCTGAAGGATTCGGAGTAGCTAAATACCTTACAGATACCTTATTAAAGGTATTCATTTCCATACTCCAAAAAATCCTTATACATTTTACTAAAAATAGTAAAAACTGCAAAACCATAAAGCCTATACTGGCAGAAACTTTGACGATTACAATTTATCTGCAGAATTTTCAGGTGTTGAAGAAGCATTAGACAAATATATTAGAACCTGTATTTTTTTTACTTAAGGTATCTAAGTAACCTGAATTTTTAACCATATTTATCAGAAAATCTGTGAGATTCATGACAAAGACTTCCCCTGCTGTACTTCCTTTTATTACAAGTCTCTACAGGAGTAGCCATTCTCCCTCTCTTCCACCTGTTTACTGAAGCTATTTGTCTTTTGGACAAAAGTGCATTCTGCTCATACTCTTGACAGCTTAATGCTTGCAATTAATTTAAATAAAAACAATTATCAAAGACAGATTTACGATTTTAAAACCATGCATTAACTCCAAGTTCTCCCTGGGGGTCTTGAAATCTCCCCAGCTCATGAATTAGAGAGTCCAGTACCACCAGTAAGATCAACACTGACTTACAACTTCAGTAAGTAACTACGAAAATAAAAAGCACTTAAGGAATAAATAATTGGAATATTGAGAAATTTTGTGTTAAATAGTTCTTTGCTACTGCTGTCAAGTTCTTCATACGACTCCTGCTGACATCTCCTACTCACTGAGGTCTAACCAATGCAAAAATATACATTTACATAAAAGCTGTAGGTAAGAAGTAGCTAAAATCAAAGTTCTTTCATATGCCACTCAAAAATGTAGATATTAAAAGAGATTAACAACCTACTTGAACCAAAACAAGACCTAATATTGTTAAATATTTCTTGAGTTAGGTATGCAACTCTGCACCTGGCTCAACATTTTGTACCTGCTCTTCCTACTTGATTTTCTACCTTATGGTTGACCTCTAAACTCTGGTCCAGAGTAAACAGCAAATGTGATGTTTCCAAATATAGAAAAATATTCTGAAAATAACTGTAGTAAAATATTTTGATACAACTACCTAAACTGTAACAAGAACAGGAAAATATTTTAAAATATTGCATGCAAGACAGAGCCAATTAAAAATACAGTTATAATTTGTTTCTCTTTAAGTGACAGAAGAAAAAAATCTTTGCAAAGAACCATAATTTAAATCTTAAAATGGTGTTTTAAACCCATCATAAAAATTTAACATAAAACCTGGATACTGTTACTCCTTTGAGATGGATAAAAAATATCAGATAACAGCAGCAACTCATTCTGGCCCCCTACCAGGTGGTTTTATTTAATGGAAACTCAATATTGTTGAAATACTCCTCTTCAAATTAATGGTACGTAGTGAATTTTGACAAGAAAAGACCTAGCAGTGAGTATACCCAGTAAGATTTGAAATTTTCTCTTCTCCTCATCTTAGATTTTCAGTAGTGTCTTTATGTTATTATGTATTTAATTACAGAAAAGTTTACACCAAAAAAACCCCACAAACTTGTCAAAAATTTTCTGTCATCAAAGCACAAATCTAAAAGTAATATGGATGCTAATGTCATTAAAAGAACTGCCTAAATTAAACAGAAAATTCAAGTATTAGAAAAAGAGAGTTAATCTATCAAGGCTTTCAGACTCCAAAAATATTTTCAGAAGGGAAATAAAAGCAGAACACTATCAGAAATAAAACTGACAGTTACTCCAAAGAACACAGAAAAAAATTAAAACCAAAAGCAAAACCCAAAACAATTAACAGTCATAACACAGGTTTTGTGGGAAAACTACTGATCATTGCTCAGTTATATCATTTTGACATAACCATGAAAAATTAATAAAATTGTAGGAATAGGTTTAAAGAATGTATGAATTTAAAAAAAAAAAAAAAAGACAACGAAACACAATCCCACAAAAATCATGTCATAACAACATACATTAAAAATAGACTGAACTTAAAAATAACCCATAAAATCTGGGAACATCTTTCTGCATAGACCAGGAAAGATGAATGCTGCAAAGATGTACAGTTGAAAATGGATCCTCTACATCTTGGACAGCAATTTAACCCAGATAAAAATTTATCCAAATAAACACATGTGGTTCACACAAATAAGCTGTTTACATGGTCTATAGAACACAGTCACTAAGTCAGATAAAAAGAACCTGTTCCATTTTACGCGGGTTTATCGAGGAAAAATCCTATGACAATTCCTTTTCAGTGTCAGGCAGAATTTGCATTTTAATCACCTCTCCCTTGCAGACATCTTTACATCACGTTATACCAGTAAATACAAAGGTTTAAGCAGTATCTATAGAAGTTCACATTCTTATGTGAGATTTAACATAGAAGGATTAAAAAATACTCATTGTTTACTTTTCCAGTCACAGGATTTTCCAAGTTAAAACATGCCTGTTCTCCTCTGCCGAAGAAGTATTATAATCTGCATTTTACACGTTAAGACCGTACACATTTATCAGCTGTTCGGGCACTTCTTGTGACACACAAATTTATTCCACACAGCAGCAGCAAGATACAGTCCCCGCTATCAGAAAATGGTAATTTCACCTACCCAAACACATACACGGTCTCGGTTCAAAGGCAGAATTATAATCATAGGCTTTTTCTTGCTCAACAGTTGGGACTTGCACATACTGCCTCATCCTGGATATGATTTTACTCCCTGGGAACTCTCCTTGCTCGGAAATTTGCTCTCTCACACTCCCATAGCAGCAGTTCCCGAGAGGGCTCTGCAGCACTGTAAGCTTATCTGATCAGCTCTGTGACATCTACATAAAGCCACCAAACACGTGAAAAACTTCAGTATCAAATTCTGTTAACAAGGCCAGGCACAAGAAAGTAGAAGAGGATAAAAGATGCATTGTCAGGGTGTGATTCACAGCTCCTCGAGTGAAACTGCACGGAAGCAGTTTCATTACTTCAGCTTTCCTGGTACACACAGTTCATTATTTCTGTGACTGGAAGTAAAAAATCCATACAGTTTCAGATAAAACTACGCTCAGTCAGGTGCCACATATCACTGCAGAGTGATTAATATTTTAGTAAAACCTACTCACTTGATCTTGCTGGTGAATGGACAAAAAGAAAAGTATTCAAAGCAGAGTACTGACCAAAAAGACTTTTTCAAACAGAAGGGTTTACCTCTAAGATTAAAGAAACACTTGAAAATTAATGAAATTAACATTATCTCTAATAAGACTTCTGAGTTTAAGAAACAAGGATTACAGAACTTAAATCCTTAACACCTTTACTCACAAAGATTATGATACATCAGGTAGAAAACCACTTGCGAGTTAAACAATTCTGAGGTTACTTTCTTGCTTCCCATTAATTCTCAGCACTTCATTGTTTCGATTCCTACGTTATATCCACTTGGGCAACATAAATACAGGATTTTCATACAGGCATTTTTATAAACCCTGGAAATCATAACTACTGGTTTTAATAAAAACACAGCTAATAACTTCCACTAACGACAACTTCATACGAATTCTAGGCTTAGAAGATTAGTGCTAATAAAGTAGTGTTTACTGCTAATAAATTCAGAGAAAACACTAAGCTGCTCAGAAACTGTCTCCAAGTATTTCACTAAGGGAAATCCTACGGTGTAAATTAGAAAAATGCACATGACAATAAGTTTTATTTCAAATTAGTTTGTCTGAATATTTGTGCTACCTCTTGCTCACAAAAAGATTACAGGAAAACAAAACCTTCAAAGAGACTGCCCATCAAGTTTAAAAAGTCCACATTATTTTCTTCTTCAGGAAACCCTAGCAAAACAGAAAACAAACCAACTGTATCATTTATCTAATGCTAGAATTTCTTCCAAAATTTGGTAATGCTGTCTAATATTGTTGTCAACAGTTTATAGAACATTAACAACCTGAAGCAAGATTTCATGTTCACTCACTGAATATTTTTGTCATGACTCAAGTTTGGATCTGGTCGTTTATTGACTATCCTCCAAGATTAAAAATATAAATCTTATTTTATCCAAAAATAGTATAATTAACATAAAAGTTTGAATAGTCAAATAAATGCATATTTTGCTAATATCAAGAAACTGAGAAATACTAGAATTACATTTGTTGCTCAATGTATTTAAACATAACTTTGTAAAAATTTACTTGACTTCTACACAATTAACTTTCATTTTGTTTATTTTTCTGTATCCAAGATGAGAAAAATAAACAAAAAGATATTTATTTCAAATATCAAAGGAAAGTGCATAAAATAACATTACAATCGTTATCACTTACTATACCTGGTTAGTTTGAAACTGTTAATATCAGTTGATGCATTTAAATCAGGACTAAAAAGATTTTCAAGGGCATTCCCGTTCTACTATGAAAAAGAGATCAGATATTTCAGAACAAGGAAATTATTCCAGCCATATAAGGGAGCTAATTAAAAATATTCTTCAACCTACTATAAAAAGAACAACTGCTGTAAGGATGGGCTCATCAGCCATTGCAATGTTGCTGCAATGCACTCCCAGAGGGAACAGCAGACTCATCATTTAGACAGGATGAAGTCTCATCCCTGGGTGAGCCTCTCCTCCTACCACCCAAGTGACAACTGACTTTTCCATACACCTGATTTCCACCCTCCCTCCACCAAAATGCAGCAAAAATAATGTCCAACATGCAGATGAAATTTTTGTCTTGAGAACACGATATTCACTTCGATGTGAACTTCTCACCCGCCGACAGTAAAACCTCAGTAACAGCTAACAGGGAAAATTCCATCCATGTGTAGGTTTGACACTTTTACATTTATTTTAAAAAAAATATTTTGGTACTCAGTAATTTGAAACAAGTAGAAAAAAACCCCAAACCTTTCTCCCTAGAATTTATTCTTACTGTAAAGTTCATTATATAGTGTGTGAAGTAACACTTTATATATAAGGTGATATGACTTCAAGATGTGTTTTTCTATACTGGAATCGCAGACTCATTAAGATTGGAAAAGACCTCTAAGACCTTCAAGTTCAACTGTCAACACATCATGACCACCAGGTTCACCCTTAAACCATGTCCTCAACTGCCACATCCACGTTTTATGAACACTTTCAGGGATGGTGACTCAATCACCTTCCTGAGCAGCCTATTCCAATGCCCTTTTCTGTGAATAATTTTTTCTTAATATCCGTGCTAAACATCCCCTGGTGCAACTTGGGGCCATTTCTGCTCATCGTGGAGAAGAGACCAAACCCTACCTGGTTACAATCTCCCTTTAGGGAGCTCTAGAGAGCAGTGGGGTCTCCCTTGAGCCTCCTCTTCTCCGGGCTGAACACCCCCAGCTGCTCCACATCACACTTGTGCTCCAGATCCTTCCCCAGCTCCATTGCCCTTCTCTGGACACACTCCAGCACCTCAAAGTCTTTCTTGTCATGAGGGGCCCAAAAATGAACACAGGATTTGAGGTGTGGCCTCACCAGTGCCGAGTACAGATGGACAATCACTGCCCTGGCCCTGCTGGTCACACAATTTCTGATACAGCCCAGGATGTCACTGGCCTTCTTGCCCACCTGGGCACACACTGGCTCATGTTCTGTTGCTGTTGACCAACATCCCCAGGTCTTTCTTTGCCAGCTTTCCAGCCAGTCTTCTCCAAACCTGCACTGAATGAGCATGCAGAGATGCACAGCATGCTAGTGTGAAAGACATGTAAAAATAATTTGAGTACAGACTTTTTGTGAAAGGAAGAAATGACAATGAACGTGAAGATACTAATAAGAAGCAGAAAAAATCCCCAAGCTGCTTACCACTAAGCTTCTTCAATGAAGTATTCTTTCCAGAAGAAGCAATTAAAACAAATCCCTAGGAAAGATATTATCTTCGGGAAAGTGCCTTTTAAAGACTCCTAATCCATTAAAAGGAAGTTTTCCATTACATCAAGTTCTCCGGTTGCATTCTTTTACACAGGTTCCACCACCTGCAGTGTTTCCACACTGCCTCTTCTTTCCTCCACCTTTGTTCTTTTCACATAGTAACTTCGTTTAACTTGCTCATAACCGTTCCCCTCGACACCACCTCCACCTTTCCTACTCCAAGATAGTACCAGCACTCTATTTTTAATACAGCATTAAAATTATCTAAAATTCATTTGATTCCAGGGAAAGAAGCTCTATGACATTATGAGTTTTGCCTGTTAGTTTGTTACTTATCTTCCTATTAAGCTGGCCAAGGTCATTTATTTCTCATCACTGAAACAATATGAAAAGGAAGTTTTGTCCCTCTGACTTCAGGAGACTGGAAAGACACATCTACATAAATCTCCTTGACCCCTCTCCTTCACAGGTGGGACCAATAACCTGATCATGGTTAAAAAAAAATGGGCCAAGTCCAACTTTCATTCCTGCTTTCAGTATTTGGTTCACAGTCAGGAAATGAGTTCTGGGCAATAAACCCAGCAGAGGAAAAGAACAACCCAGAGGTTTTGTGTCATCACACTCCTATTTATAAACAAACACTGATTTCGTAACAAGGTGTTTCATGAATCTGAAAAATAGGGACGTAAGCAAACTACTGGACTAAAGGAGAAGTGGGGGGAAATGGAGGCTCTTTGTGTATTGCTTTGTGTATTCTCTGAAGCACATGAACTGGCATTATTCCTCCACCCAGGCAAGTAGCAGAGCATGGAGCAGACTCACAACACTGACAAAACACCCACTGTATACATCCAGTAACACCCTGAGCCAGGAGGACATTGTTTACATACTAATTAATTCAGAATAAAAAAGTAAAGAGGGACTGACATTATCACAGCAACCTCTTTCTACTCCTGCTACTTAACACGAATATTTGGATCCATCTCTGCCTGTCCAAACGCCTGGCCTGCCCCAAGATCCATGAGTATGGGTGAACGGAGTCTCCTACGCACAGTGATGATCCTGGCATAGAAGTAACCTCCCAGTACCAGACTATCCTGTTGAAAGCCTGGCTTCATCTTGACCCTAACCTATTCTCTAACCCCGATGAGCCATTTTCAGAATGCTCCATCCTTGAACACTTCCCAGCTGCAGGGGACAGAAGAGTGTGCTGTAACCTTTGTAGGAACAAAAGGCCAAGTAACTTGCTTTACACTCCTCCTTGAGCTCCACTGAGGAGAGTGGATGCAGCACCTGCACCTCCCCTATCCCTTTGTTCCCACTTTGTTGCATCTTAGGAGCAACTTGAAACACTGAAGATCATTCCATGGAAGGTGCTGGTGCACCTCAGGATTGAGATGGACACTGTGTCTGAAGGGGAGAAAAGACACTATGGAAGGCGTGGTTGAAAGGTAACAGTCAAGGGAGGAACAATTAGCCTATTTCCAGGGTGGCCAGAGGTGGGTAATGAACGATTCTTGAGGGATGCCAAGGGCAAAATTATTCCAGTAGGGTCACTCTCTGCTTCTGGAGCCTTCAAACTGTACTTCTGATCAGCAGGTTGGCCAACTACAGGTAAAAACATATATACTTGGCTAAATGCCTCAGTAAACTTCGGTGACAGCTACATAAAGCCCAGGCTAGAGAACCCCTTCCAGATGCTCCAGCTGGTCATACCTTTTCTTCCCAGTCCCAGCTCCAGGCAGCAGAGCAGAGAGCAGACTGGGACTTTCTCTGTGCCACTCCACCCATGCCCAGTTCTAGTTTTAAAACCTCTGAAACAGATTTTCCACATTTCCCATTCCACTGCCTTTCCTCAGATTACTGGACACAGCCCTCTCTCCTGACAAGGAAGAAA